GTTTTTTTCCCCCTATTTATTAAGGACATAATGTGGCTTTGGGTGTGTGTCTTTAGTCACTGCGCCACCTACTGGTGTGAGTGGTAAAGCATTATGAAAGGGAATGCAGCTCTTTGGGAGAAGAGTGATGATGATTTTATTAAAAGCCATTTTCATGAGTGGCTGTGCTTTGGTCTTGTTTCCACGGTTACGTAGCTTGTTTGGCTGGTGGGAATAATGAGTCAGCAGTGAGTTTCAGAACTCTGTTCAGTTGCCCCCCCCCTTACTGGAGTCTTGGGCTCCCCGTGTTTCCCGACTGTTTTATTTTCACATGGAGAAGTTAATGACTTTAAGAGGTGGCCTTGTGGGGCGTGAGCTTCTCTGCTGCTTCTGCATGTGCTGACAGGCCACCCTCACGATTCATCATCTGCTCTTTTTCCTTTCTGCTTGATTTCAGATGCACAGTCCATTCTTTAATCTGTCAGTGCCCTTATCATGGACACATCTCCATCCATCTTCTCTCCACTTATCCTGGTCGGGGTTGCAGAGGGGGCTGGAGCCTGTCCAAGGCAGCATAAGGGATAATGTGTGTGCGGGAACACACACACACACACACACACTATGGGCAATATCGAGATTGCAGTCAGCCTAACTGCATCAGGAAACCCAAATGACATGGAGAATTTGCAAGCTCCGCCCACACAGAATGGAGGTGGGATCCAAACCCCCCAACCCTGGAGGTGTGAAGCAGCAGTTTCACCCAAAATGTATATCAGCGATGACTAAACCCCAGGAAAGAATATATGAGGTCTATGTCATTCCATGCAATAAAAAGGGCACCTCGTATTCAAACCTTACAGCGATACCATTTAAAGTCATGTTTATGTTAGGATTATGCCGAAGCTCTTTCCATATCTTTACTCCTATGGAAACTTTTTATGACATGGTATGTAATTAAAAATCAATTTTCTTTGTTTCCTTGGGTAACACTCAACTTTTAATTAGTTACTGGTTAATTTATCCAAGGATGGATAAATTACCATTTAGCAAAACTTTTTTTTTTTTTGAATATGAGATTCATTTTTAAAACACCTAAGTTTTAATTGTATTTTTAAAATGACCTTCAGTTTCAGCTTCTGATTTGCTCTAGAGAGTTTGGCAATAGACTGGACACTTGTTCCGATGCCTAGAAATCCGCATTCCAGGAAAATAAATTGTCTTTGATTGTAGGTGAATGGGTGGTGACGGATTCAGCATTTGTATGTATGTCTGGGGGCAGCCATGGTGGCCCTCCATCCAAAAGCCGTCCTCTTCTGTAACCTGAGTGCTATTGTTTATGGGACTCATGGTGGACTGGCATCCTGTGTTGTGCCGCATGCTGCCTGGGGATGGATGGCTGGATGGATGGATAGATGGATAATTTAGCATATTGCTCGTGGGAGAATGAATTCAGCCGTATGATTCCTTGTGTCCCACAGAGCAAGTCATTTGAGAAAGAGCCATTTGAAGGAACATTGCAAGCTTAGCTCTAGCTAGAGCCATGCCGAGGGTAGCGCTGGCTCTAACCATCGCTGAAGGGCTGGTCCGGGGGGGGGGGGTAGAGGAGCACCGCTCGGACCGCACCTCCGAGAGTGGCTGTTTCTCCCACCCACCGTTGCCATGGCTACCCTCTGTGCACATTGAGAAAGAAGCCGGTCATTCGAGCTCAGAAATGTTGACGAGAGACACACATGGAAAAAAAGTGCTGTTTCTGATTTTTCCTACTCGTGCCCAGGGGCGCTGCAGACCACAGGGTGTAAATGGGTCCCAGTCGAATGGACAGCAAATGCACATTTATAATAGCTGTGTACTGAGGTAAGCGGCCATATTCCCACAATGCCTTGCTTCAGTACGGATCTTGGCCGCTTCAGGAGGATGCAGACTGCCCGAGTGAGTGTGAATGTGTCACGGATGCAGACTGCCCGAGTGAGTGTGAATGTGTCACGGATGCAGACTGCCCGAGTGAGTGTGAATGTGTCACGGATGCAGACTGCCCGAGTGAGTGTGAATGTGTCACGCAGTGTTGGCTCATTTCTGGGGGATGTCCAGTCTGAGCAGATGGGGGGGGGTTGGGGGATTTACAATCGCAGGCCCCGACCTGTGGAATGTAACACATGGGCCTTGTGGCTGCTGCTTGTCGCTGTCCCTGCCGCGGGGGCCGGCGGGGGCCGCGGGAGCGTGCCGACCCTCGGCGGGGGAGGGGTGCGGCCCGGTGCAGGTCCCTCTAGCCCGCGTTTGTGGTGCCGCCAGCTGGGCAGCCCTGAAGGACGGCGGCCCTTTGTGTTAGTTACGCTATAGAAAGGTGGAGGCAGACAGCATGGTGCTTAAGGAGACCCACTCTGCTCTGATGCCCTTCAGCCAAGCTCCCATCAATAATGTGCTTCAATGAAAGATGCACTCTTCAGTTGTATCTGTATACCAAGAAATACGCTGCTTGTTTGTTTTTTGTCAGATTACTGCCCTGTAATGGACAAACATGACTGTACGCCTTCCTTGTGTTGGCTGTGCTGCCCCCAACTACTCTGTTCTGGAAAAGCAGTTTGATGATTGATTTGTTTTTGTTGTTGTTATTGTTTTTATTATTGTTGTTGTTTATTACCAGTAGATTGCATTCTGTTTGGACTGCTGAGTTTTCCTCCTCATCATTGGCCTGCAATAAATTTCACATTCCATTGTGGCCTTTATCCAGTGATTAGCATTCTGCTCTACAAGTGTATCATGCCACTCATAACAATATATCCAATGGAGGGTCACAGTAGCCTTGGAGCCTATCCCAGAAAGCACTGGGCACAACCGGGGATCTCTGAATGGGATGCCGGACCGTCATGTCGTACACTATGGGCAACTTGGAGACGCCAAAGAACCGAGCTGCATGTTTTTGGACGCGCAAACTCCAAATATGCAGCCCACTTTGGGCGCGTTGGGCAGCTGTGCAGACCACTTTGGGCGCGTTGGGCAGCTGTGCAGACCACATCATGCCACCTACAGGACCAGATTTTTTATGTATTTTGATGTACATTTTGTGCTGACAAACCTGACCTTCGGTTGGTTCTTACAGTTGCAACTTGAGGATTTTTATGTTATACCTGCAAAAAATCTGAATCAGATGAGATTCCCAGAATATATATGCTTCATTCTAGAACTGTTATGCTCCCTCTGTGTACAGTTTCCTATATATCGTCTTGATATATAGTTCTGTTGCACTGGTGTCTGAAAATTGCCCTGTGTTCCTGCAATGATGGTCTGTCATCCCATCTAGGGAATTGTGTGTCCTCGGATTGGCTCATGTGATGAGTACTTCTGGGAAAATTGTTGGATAGATTTATTTGACATCACAAAATATATCTTCTGGGTAGCTAGGTAAAAGATTTATTGCAGATGGCAGGAAAGACAGTGATTCAGCAACCGATGAGGACGCAAGAACTCCTTGTGCGAGCACTAGACACCAAGCCTGCGTGAAGCACCTATCTCGAGCTGCAGGAGTCCCATTTTTATTAAAATATAATTTTTTTGCAGGTTTATCAAGTGTAGCCAGTACTGTGGCTGCCGGCCCCTGGAGGATGGGCTCCCCCTTTGAGTCTGGTTAGGGTTAGGATTAGGGTTAGGATTAGGGCTTCCTCTGCCGGCCCCTGGAGGATGGGCTCCCCCTTTGAGTCTGGTCCCTCCTAAGGTTTCGTCACTGTCGCCTATGGCTTACTCACTGGGGGCTTTGGGTGGGGATGCTGTAAAGCGCTTTGAGACGATGTAATGTTGTGATAATGCGCTATACAAAAATACATTTGTTGTTGTAAGTAGTTCTGTTGCCCTGTATCTCTGGGGTTGTGGGTTTGAATCCCGCTTCTGGTCTGTGTGTAGAGTTTGCATGCCCCCTGTGTGGTGCAGATTTCCTAACCCTAACCCTAACACATGCAGTGAGGGCAACTGGCATCATGCAGTGACATTGACCCCATGAATGATCAAGTGCTTGACTTTAAAAAAAAAAAAAAAGCTGTAAGATATATTGGCTCAAATTCCGGTTAGTAGTTTGCTTACGGGTAATTAGGGCTTGATAAATCCAGGTCCTTTCTCTGTGTGTTAGGGTGAGCAGATAATCCATGTCAGAGAGGACACTTTGAGCTACTTCAGGTTTTACAAACTACTTTAAAACTGAAACGCCTCCATACTTGGATTTTTGGATTATTTTGTACTTTTAATGGTTTGTTTTCTTGATTGAAAGACTCATCCAGCTGTTTCACATTACCATGCATGAGTAAAGGATACTGACCAATCAGCACACAGCAAGAGCCCAGTGAAATCCAAGTCCGACTGAAGTGTACAAATCCTGTCCTAGCTGAATGTCTGCTCCCTAACGTGGATCAGGTGGTACGCCCACTTTATGTAGTTCTTTATTTCCTTTGATATATGGAGATAAAACAGGCATCAAATACAGAATGCCTTTATAGGAATCAAAGTTTTCTTTTATCACTGCAAACAAGGAGGAGGAGTGAAACTCGAATCCATTTGGAGATACTGAGAGGAAATAGTGGAGATAGTTTGAATTTCTAATGTCAGGGGATGCTTGAAGTTTGCTGTTTGGCAGTGCTGGCCTCTCGTAAATGTTTACCTACTGAAAACCGTTGGGAATCAGAACATATATCAGGCAGACTGCATCTCTTATTAATGTGGGGGCGATTATACCCAAGGACACTTCATTCTCACTTTCAATCCCCATTCACCCTGATTTTTTTTAATATATTATTTCAGTTTTTTTCCCCAGATTTTATAATAATAACATAAAGAGAGATTATAGGCTGGGTTTCGGTGACACCCACAGTTTGGTGCCTGCAGAGAGTCACCTCTTATTCATAAAAATCCTGCTTAGTTCATCACACACCAGGTGATTCCAGTGACTGTTTCCAGGGCAACAAACGCTCACCTGATGGTAGCTGCACTGTAGGAGAGGGGAGGGGCAATTTTAATGGCGGTCGGCCTTTCCCTTTCAGAGCTCCCACCTGGCTATGATCGACACCTTGATGATGGCCTACACCGTGGAGATGGTCAGTGTGGAGAAGCTGCTGTCCTGTGTACAGAAGTATTCCCCCTGCTACCCCGACGGCGACGTGCCCTACGACACGGAGGAGGCTGTGGCGACCTGGATCAATAAGGTGAGCTTTAGGAACCGTCGTCACCAAGGGCACCATGGAACTCCATGGCGACCTGGATCAATAAGGTGAGCTTTAGGAACCGTCGTCGCCAAGGGCATCATGGAACTCCATGGCGACCTGCAAACCCGGAGCCGAAATAATTTATATTGGATAAAAACTTTATTATTGCCAAAGCATTTCCCGTAAGTCTGGTTTATTTTTAGTTTTCTTTTAATATATATATATATATATAATACTGCATGCTCTGTGGTACAGTATTTGCTGTCAAAGTTATTATTCATGGTCTTGGTTTATCAGTAGTAGTTTAGATTTTAAAACTCACACTTTACACAGATATTGCATTGACCTAAGCAGTTAATAATAAAAGTACTACACATAAAGCGGGTAGATTAACGTCTGAAGGCCAATAGTCTCATTTGATTGGCCAGTTCAGCATATATGTAAATGATAAAGGAGCATTGTGAGCTCATACGATTGGCATTGATATCCTGCTAAAAGCTAAGCTTATAAAGAGCAAAGCGCAACACATATCCAGGTGTTTATCCAAACGGAGGGTTTCATTTAATGTCCCCTGATGCCGGAGTGAATCAGCACATCACTACATCATTATCTCTAACCGTGGGTTTAGGTACGATTCCAACTCGCCCCCAGTAATGCCATAAAATCATAAATCTGTCACAGGAAATAGGCTGTTCTCCTGCATAGTCATCCTGGTTTGCTGTTTGTGTTAGATCGCCCTAGAGCATTTGTCCCATTTCCCAAACTCCTTGTCCCCCATAATTTTTTTTAATGCACGCATTCCTGTAACGCTAGTCTGTCGCGGGGGGGAGTTCCATTTAAGCTGAATGCCATGGTCATGTGACACGCCATGTTTACCGGCCGCGACTCTGTGAGCTGGGCTCCGTGCCGTGGAAGCGTCCGTTTGTTTACATTCCTGTGCGGAGAGGCTGAAGTAGCCTCTGCTTGGGGGGGGGGGGGTGCAGTATGCCGCAGGCTACTTCCATACTGCATGACTGCCTACAGCAGCCCCCTAAGCCCCTCTGCCACCCTCGTCTCCTTGCCAGGCATGTTGGATTTCTCACAATGCATCTTTCATTTAAAGGATAAAGTCTTGCAAAAAAATAATAGTTTGCCTTTTAAAGGGATTTGCAACTTTATCCTGTGTAGAGAGACGGGCTGCTTTGCTCTTTCTTAGTGTGGGGAGATTTGAAATGAACAGTCTGGCACTGTATTGTGCTGAACAGAGATGGCAGTTTGTGTTTCTGAACAATTAGAATAAACCTTTTTTGCTGCTTTTACTGTGTAGGGCAGGTTTAGTTCATTTGCGTGTGAGGTCTGCGGGAAGCAGGACATTTATTGACACAATTTGTCTTTATTTACAATTCCTACCTGGAAACTAATTGCCCCTGCTGTTCGATTGGCTCTAATGACTCTTTGTAATGAATGCTTGTTTTTTTCCCTCTCTCTCCTTTATTAACCAGGTCAATGAGAACTTGAGAGACATCATCACTCAGGAGCAGAAGCTGAGAGAGCTGTCCTGTGCCGACAAAGACCAGGCTGAGGACTCGCCGGTGAGCACGGCCGGCCTGCGAATGGCAGGATGACCCTCAGGATCATGACCACTCGTACCGCTTCCTGTTTTATATTTTCCTTTGGTTTTTAAATTACATGAGTGATTAAGCCTGGATTTTCTGTGTTTGAGACTCAAGGTTGTGTTGGTCATAGATTTAATGCTGTGTTGAAGGAAAAGGATCTTTGCTCTGTTGGCGTCCTGTTTGTTTTGTACTATGGAATGGAAACCTGTGACAAGCAGTTCTTACAATACAGTAAAAATAGGAGAAAATGTAGAAGATATCAATGTCAGTGTGACTGGTTTGCATAAGCGGTGATGAGACTATGTTGCTGTAAACGTTGCAAAAAGATGTGTCACCACAAAAACATGGTGGTCAGTCCTGCTCGATCCTGCGGATGTGAATGACGTTTTTTTTCTCAGTTAACAATCAGCTTTGGCTGCTTCAGTGGTGACCTCCTTCGGGCAGCAGTGCCGTGCAAACTCACTTTATGGGGAATGTGAGCGGTTTGCCTGCCGTGGACCCACATGGCACAAGAAATAAAGCTAATGCTATCTGCTCTTCCATTAGCCTGTCCGTGTCACAAATGCGATTTTGCTTCAAGGGCAGGGGCTTGTTGATCCCCAGAATCATATAATAGTCTAGACAGGGCCTTCTGTGTCAAACAGCACAACTCTGGCCACACGTACCCCTACCCCACCCTCACTGGCACAGTAGCCGCGCGACAGACACCGCGTCGCTGCAAAGAGGAATTAGCACCACCTTGTGGGCACTCAGGATCACTGCAGGTATTTGCAGCGGCGAGTTCATTACCGAGCCTCGTGCCGCCTGCGAACCGTGGAAGATGCACTGCAGACGCCGGGGCCTTTCATAGTTACCGCCGCTGCCTCATGGGCTGTCTCCATTGTAAGAGCCAGTCTGCCTCGGGGCACGTGCCGTCCTTATCCCGCGCCGAGCCTCTCGGGAGCTGAAATTCGTGACCTGATACATGCAGAAATAAGAAGAAACCCAAGATGACCCCGTTTTGGTACTTGTGTACCCTCTTGGGGCGGCGCTCAAAGATAGAAAGGGCCGTCCAGGACAAGGGGGTATTTTTGGAAGTTTCGATGTTTATTCTCACTCTCTGTGTATTTTTACATTTATTTATTTGGCTTTCGCTTTCATCCAAAGCGACATACAGTTGAGAAAGCTGGGTCAGACAGTCCCTGGGGCGACTGGGGGCTAAGGGCCTTAAGGGTGAAATCACTCCGCCGACCACGGGATTTAAACCGGCGACTTTCTCATCACAGCCACAGTGTCCTAACCCCCCCATTGCCTTTCACAGTAGAATTCATCGCTGCTCTGGGCCTCAGCACTGAGTGCATTAATGACTTGTCTGTCCTTGTGACACAAAAGGTGACAAAAGGTGTAGGGCTCAGAATGCCATTGATGGCGACTTTTTTTGGTTTCTGTACTGAAGCGAGGCTCTTAATGAAAAGTGTAGGACTCACTTTATGTGAGAGATGTACAATCTGTCAATTAATCACTGGGACCTCTTTAGGCACTTTGCAGAAAGCACCCGATGTCTGTGCCCTTGCCTCACCCGAAGTTAAGCAACTAAAACGTGCTGAATCAGGTCACGTGACATGACTTATGAACAAACCACAGCTTGTTTTAAAGCAGTCATCCACTCACATACCAGGTGTGCTAGTAGGAGGTATATGATAGGTGTAAAAGAAAAAAAAAAAGACATGTTAATGCATGTCTTCACGCTACGGTAAATGTGATTGGCTGTGGCCAGAGATCTTTCATTACCAATCATCTCATCAATCACATAGCATTGATCTGATTGGTTTTGGACTAACACCAAACTGAGGCTTTCCCTGTTATCACCAGCCAAATGTTCAGCCATGTCTGAAAGGCATTGTCTTAGAACTGAAGGCATTCAAAATCCAGAACAAAGTGGAATTGCTTTTCAGACAGTGTAAATATATTTAGCTCTCCATTGAATTTAACCCCAAAGTGCCTCATTTGACATTTGTGTGTGTCTGGAGTTTCCTTTCTACACTCTCCAGTAATTTCAACAATAATGCATATTTTTATAGACCTAGTTTATTAAACTGCCTTGTATTTATAGATGGCCTTTAAAGTTCTCTGCACAGAGCTTGTGGCACAAGCCTATGGAAACAGCACATTCAGGTTTTGTCATGGGTGGAAACCATCTAATGTTGAAGAAACCACTAGCTGGGATGTTAGACTGTACTGTGGTTCAGCGTTTCTCAGTCCAGTCCTCAGGCCGCCCCATGCAGGCCACATTTTTGCTGTAGCCCCCCATTTGTACCAGGTGAGCCCTTTGTAATGAACTGTAGATGAAATGCCTTGTGTACGTTTTGGAACACAAAGGTCGATTGGCTGGGTTAAACATGGGGGGCGTGGCTTTGTGGGCGGGGCTCTTCTCAGATGCCCAGACCTAGACTGGCTTGTTCATTTCATGCCGATGGTTCTTCCTATTCTTTCTATCACCTTTGTTTTTAATTGTTTTATTTATTTTTCTTTTTGTTTTTAATTGTTTTATTTATTTTTCTTTTCTTGTTGCACCACTTGCTTGCTGGGCCGAAGTCTCCAATCAAATGGTATTGGAAACTGGTTCCTGTAAGTTCACCAAGCTGCTTCTCTGCACACGCCCCCCCCCCCCCCCCCCCACCATCCCATTGCATCATCCCTCCTTTGTGTTTGAGAAGCATGCAGCCTACCATAGACATGAGCACTCATTCCATCTGGGGGGGAAAGGGTGAAGTTGCTCCTGAATTCTGATCTGGAATCAGTTGTAGATTAGCAAATGCCTATTAACTTTACGTGAGGGCATGCATGTCCTAGATCAGGGCATAGAGGCAATTCCAACCCCAAGAACCCTAGTTTGTGCCCCTTATCCATTCCTAGGCACACCAAGACATATTTGTGATATGATTTCTATGTAAGTAACTCTACAGCCACTAGCATCCTGGATCATTAACCTTGAATTTTGCATCAGTGTTAGAAACGCTTATGGGGGTTTTATTTACACAAAATTGTTCAGAGAGCAGGGCAAGACATCTGATTGGTTGGTCCCGCCTCCTGAAGTTGCTTGGGCCCACCTCCTCTACAATCTGATTGGTTCTCTCTCTGAATCATTCTTTTCCATTCTGTCCTCGGAACATTTTTGCGTAAGCAAAACTCCCATGAGTGTTAGAGTCTTATAATTGACGTCCGTGAGTGTCTGTCCTGAAATAGTTTACTCAGGTGTTTTTGCTACAGGATTTTTAAAAATGAATGACTTCACTTTTCAATTGTATGAATAAAATATTAAAATCTAAACATCAGGCTCTCCAACTCCCATAACTGCTGATGTGTTGCATGCTTTATATGGTACAGAATTCCACCCCAAGTTTTACAACATATAATGAATTTCATGTCCCTAGTAATAAATAATGTATACTCCCTAATCCAGAACAGTGCTGGATCAGTCTGTGCTCCATTCTCATTTTTCTGAAGCACTCACTCCACTTCAGTCGAGCTGAAGTTCAGCCTTCTCAGTTGACCTTTGTGTTTTGTCAAGCACATAATTGGAGTTTGGAGATAATACCGCATATGAGTATGGAAGAGCCTTGCTGACCGCACTGAGAACGATGACTTCCTCTTGGTCCTCCCTGAAGGGGTGATGCATATCACAATGCAGATGTGTTTGCTGGCACTTCACCCAATATGTGCTATTAAATATGAAATCGTGGCCTCCGTGATTCGCAGAAAGGGGTGTACGGTTTCATTCAGCAGCATTCGGTGGAGGTGAATGAATGGGGACATGAATAACGTGAGTGATTTAAAACACACCAGCCGCGCACACGGAATTGAATCAACAAAATGTGGTTATTTCACCACAACAGCAGTTATACGGCGGAGCCATGGTACTTATTGAAACTAAGCCCTATTGCATTTAGCATTTTTCTGCTGGGTGTAAGTGCAAGGGCAAGGAGGATGACGAGCCTGGAACGGGATCTCCCGCCGTAGGTCTCAGTACACGAGGTGGACTTACGGGCCTGGAACGGGATCTCCCGCCGTAGGTCTCAGTACACGAGGTGGACTTACAGCGCATATGAGTACAGCGCATCAAAACTGGTTCAGTAACTTATGACAGGACCAGAGACCAAAGGAAGTACCTGCAATCCCAAAATGCACCAGTAGCATATATTCTGCATGTGGCTTTGCCCTGGTTTGTCTGTCCAATCGAATCCTTCCCTGTTTCCGGAGCTACTTCCTGAGCTAAACTTGTCTATAGTTGCGTATATGTGTGGGTGTGTCCCGTAAGTGTGTAGGGTTCGCTGATTGTGATGGGGGCTCGCTTATGAGTGTGTTCTCTCCTGGTGTTTGTCACTGCATAGGCTCGGTACAGGAAAGAACAGACGATATCCAGACAAGCCCCATGTCTCCCCCTGGTGGACAACCTGCTGAAGGACACTGCAGATGGCTGTGCCATAGCTGCACTCCTCCACTTCTACTGCCCGGATCTTGTGAAGCTGGAAGGTATGACATCGCTTCTGTCGACCAGGAGGGCAGCAAGTAGCTGCCATACTGGTATGGACTGAGTAAGTGGAGCGTTGAGTTGCAGGCTGCTGTCTTGGTCACCAGCATGACACTTGGCCTGAAATATCTATTGTATTTGCAAAACCTAGAATAGATATAAGCCATTTGTCACTTTGGATAAGTACTTAAAGTAAATAGTATTGCCCATTTTGCAAAATTAGCGCATCCCACTGATTTTCCTAAAATAGTAATGTGGTCCAATGGACAGTAATAATCACCCCTGTGATTCTGTAGGGCAACATGTTTTCTGTGCTAATCAGTCAGGTGTCTATCTTACTACAGTTAAATAATCCTTCATTGTAGATGGTAAACAGGGATAAGATTAATCTTGAAATTTCCCAGAATGCAAGTAGAAAAAGGCTAGTCGTTACAAGGCAGGTATATAAGAGGTGTTTGTGTGCTTCTGGGATTTGTCCTATAAGGAGTACCGTTGAGAAGAGTGTAGTTTTACCATGCAGCAGATATTTGTTTGGTTAGTTTCTTTGTGTCTTGCAAGTGTTTATAGTAGTGAGAGGAAATGCCTTGTCTCCTGAGTAGTGATGTCATAATGGGGTATGAGTAGTGATGTCATAATGGGGTATGTCCTGCCCTCCTGCCTAACAGACATATGCCTGAAGGAGACCATGTCATTGGCGGACAGTTTGTTCAACCTCCAGCTGATTCAGGACTTCTGTGGGGATAACCTGGACCGATGCTGCCACTTCACCCTCGAAGACATGGTCTACGCCTCCTCATCCATTAAGGTGAGCTTGCCATCCTCACACAGGGATGTATGTGTTAATGAGAGAACCTCCAGCTTGAAGGTTTGGGTTTATGAGTCTGGATGTTGCATTTGTAGAGGAGCTCTAACCTGATAGTGCTGCTCTGCCCAGTGAGTCATGAGTCATGGGTTCCTAGAACCACAAACCTGCGGTACGTTTTTTTTGGCCAGGAGGAAAGCCTTGGTATTTTCTTCCTCAATGAGTCATCAACAGTTTCGTCATTCTGTTTGCAAGATGGTCCCTAACCTACATTTCCTGCAGAGAGTTTTTCTATCACAGCTAATAACACTTGAGTCTTGCTGTTCATTTTTGATGATAGTTGAACAGAACTTGCATTCATCTCAGTTGTATGTCTGACATGGGTTCTTAGCAGTTACCTTTGCCTGTGAGGTGGAAGGAGTGAAAATTATTTTGAATAAAGGGTTCTAATACACTATTTCTTAACATGGTCATACTGCAAAAAGGACAGTTTTTCTGCTTCACAGCCGGGTGAAATTATGCACTGACTGGACACAAGAAGCCCCAGTTAGCTGTGTATGTCATTATATTACTGTCAACTGTAGACTCTCATTATAGTTCCAGCATCTAGGCAATGCTACTATAATGAGGCTCTAGACTGAAGAAATTCTCTCGTTAGGCCTGGAATGAAAGTCTCCAGTCAGGCAGCTCACTGTGGAGATGACTGTCGATAAGCTCAGATTGGACACACAAGTGCTGTGGACAAATGAACCCTGCTCCCGTCCATTGAGATGGAAATGGGAGTTGGCTGCCTTGTCTGCTCCTTTGACTGATCTGCCCCTGCTTCACCCACCCCACCCCCCAACTGTGAAGGCCTGGCTTCTGCTCGGATCGAGATTCGGGTGTGAGGCAGTCAGAGTGTTTCTGTAAAAAAAATAACCTACTCTTGTCCCTAAGCCTTTTGTAGCCAAGGAAAAAAATCGGTTGTGGGGGGATCTGAGTATGAGAACCTCCCAGCCCAGCAGCACTCAGGCACAGACTGACTGATGTATAGCAGATATGGCTAGTTTCCAGCCGTTGTCAGATCGTATCCTGGGCAAAACTTTTGTCGATGCAATTTCCTATGGAGTGCAGCATTAATATCAAAAGTAGCCAATCTTACTTTTTTTAAGGACTATCCTAAAAGAAAAATGTGGTTCTTTTTGATACTTTTATTCTGTTGCATGCTATTGGTGACACAATGGTTTAATCATGCAAATGCTTGTGGAAATAGTCATAATGCATGCCAGCGTTCTAATTCTAACTCAGAACTGGAGCCCTGACTCATTGGTATTGTACCATTCTCATTAGCAGAACTTTGAACTTAATGTAACTTCTTCATACCCTGTTCCATCTATTTTTCTTTTATATAAAGCTTTTGTTTACACAAAAGCTCCATCAAAGCTTAAGGGAGAGTGGTTTTCCTGGGGGACACGCCCAGCCGCTGTTGCCAGTCATGAAACAGTATCCGATTCAGAATCCCACTCAGTACAGCTGTGAGTAGTAACCGTGTCATAACAGCTACGAGTATTTCATGCAATCCGTAACACATGTCTCACACGTTGAAAGTTACGGACTCCATGATGGATACAGTGGTTTAGCATAAATTGTGCTAGCCTTGACTCTTGGTTACAATCACACATACAGCTGGAGGTCTAAATGGCCTCATTGTTGAAAAATAGATCATTAAGCCTAGCTGCTATAAACAGAAACCATATGAGGAATCTACTTACATCACAGATACTCTGATTGGTCGCATTGCAAAAAGGAAACATTTCTTCCTGGGTCTCCATTGAAGACCCTGATCCCTGCAGTTAACATCTGTGTCTTGATGACATACCTCCTACTCAGTCATTAGGCTGCAGTCATCTTTAGGATACTTGGTTCAAATGTCTATGAAAGAAAGAACATTTTGATAACCAAAGAGGTGAACTATTGAACATTTGATTGTTTTGATTCTTCTAAAGGTGCAATACTTGTACATAAATCATTAAATGTATGCATTTCTTCACAGTCCCCTTGACAACAGTGTACCCCAGTTCAAGTTGTTTTTTTGGCAAAGGAGAATCCAATTTCACAATAGTAAACATATTTTGACTTCTAGAATTTAAGCCTGTTTGGTCCATTCTTTGAACTGCTCAGTGTAATGTTGGTCTGATTTATTTTTCTTTATCTAGGATGAGACTTCTCTTAAAATCCATCAAATCCAATGTAAATATTTTCACAAGTTTCCTAAATATGTGGCAGAAAAGGGTTATCACGTGTGTTTTTTATAGTGCATGACAGACTCGAAATGTAGTTGTTTCTGGTTGATTGATTTGCTCTCCTACGTCATCCTAGATTATACTGTATCTTTCATAAAGGAGTGTACTCCTCTTATTCATGAGGGGGGTATCAAAACTCATAAATAAATAAACCTAAATTCATGCTGCATAACCAGATTCTAAGGACACTTTCTAGTTACATCATTCTTTTCTCTCTGTTTGCATGACTAACTCTGTTTTTTTGCCCTTGTGCTTAAGAAGAAATTATAACATTACAAAGCAAAGTGCATACAGCATGGGTATCCAGTAATGATTGTGCTAAGAAAGGTATATTTATTGAGGCTCACGGAGACCTCTAGTGGTGACCATATTAGGCAGACAGCTCAAATTCCTCTTGGAAGGTTTCCTTCAACAACATCACTACAGCCTCTAAGGTGTGTATGCAGGTTTTTGGGATAAACTTTAGGTCAGCTGTTCAAACCCAGGTGTGATGACTCTTAAGCCAATCAGTCTTCTAATTAATAATCTAATTAGGGAGTCACAGTGAAAACCTGCATACACTGTGGCCCCTTCTGGAAAAGATTGGCCACCCCTGATCTAGATCCACCACCCTTATGATGGTATATATACAGTATACGTGCTGTTGGTTTATTGGCTACTCACTGCATCTAGGCGGTGCAGTGAGTTGCAGTGCAATCTTATGCTTCCAGGGTTGTGGGTTTGTTATGGAGTTACAGAAGATGGACGGGTGGATGCTTTGTGCCCTGACATGAATGCCTCTTCACTATATTCTGCTCCAGAACAACTACCTGGTGTTCATGGCAGAGCTGTTCTGGTGGTTCGAAGTTGTGAAGCCCTCGTTTGTTCGGCCCCAGATGCTGCGCACTGAAGGTATGGGTTCGCTGAAGCAAACAGACACACTTCGTGCAGCATAATAGTTTTCGAAGATGCCATGACTTTGTAAGTGCATCTAATCGAGGTTTGGTCTGCTTCCAGCGCTAGAACCATCGTCTTTGAGAGGAATACCCTCAGTGCCCATCTCTAATGCCAGCAACAGAAGCTTTATGGAGAATCCCCCACTTCCAGAACACCCAAGGTCGGTTCTACTTCCACTATATGCATCATTATATATCTATAATGAGTTACTACATGACTGAAGTGCACTTCCAGAGATTAGAAAAGCCTCTGTCTCTTTCTCTCTGCAAGCCTGCCTCTTAGGGTCCAGCCTCAGACTTCCACTTCAGGTAAGAGACAATTACTGAAGTGCTGATGTTTGACATTTCCCTGTTCTATTTGAGATGTTTGTGCACTTTAAGTATTGCTTATGTTTTCTATGACTGTTATGTGTATGTTTGATTTTTCTGATTTGTGCTATTGTTGTGTAATGTTAGGTATAATAAAACGATCAACCTCATTGTCTTACATGGATGGCTGTGTGGGCACGTGGCCTAAGGAAAAACGGTCAGTGAACAAATTGTGTGCATCAGATGTCTAGGTGAATAATGCTGTTTGCTAAAGTGACGCCATGCCACGATCTTGAATTGTTCTGTTTTCTCTGTCCCTCTGTCTGATAGATCATCTGCACATGGGATATCTTTTGACATTCCTTTTGATAAGGAGGACACTGTAAAGAGCTCCACAATCTCCAACCGAGGCATGACCAGGTCCATCAGCACAGATGGGCTGGGCTTCAAAGTGAATCATGTGTCCAAGAATATGAAGAGGAATCTCTCCTTCCAACCTGTGAATGGGCAGAGTGAGAGAGAAGGCATTGAGGAGGAGGAACCTCCAGTGAACCTAGTAGGTACCAACACTGAACGACAGCCTGAAAGGTCTCTACCCAAGAATAACAAGGGATTATTGAATGGCCAAGTCTCAGATGATCATGGGAACCTTCCCATGCCGAGCATGGAGGAGGCCCTGAAGATCATCCATGATTCTGAAAGGCCACAAGGCAGCATTCAGGGAGAGGCTGTAGATAATGGGTTTTTTCTTCATGGCCTTGAGACGGGGGATTTGTGCCCCAAAGCGCGAGGTGCTGAAGCAGACACAGACTCAGTTTCAACGGAGGTGGACACGGGAATCCATGTACGCACCGAAGACATCCAAGAGACCCTGGATGAGGACTCATCCTTGAAGGACTACACAGTGAGCTTGGACTCAGACATGGACCACGATTTTGAGCTCAGGGTCAGTAAGGCTCGAGAGATGACGAGCCCTTGCCCCAGTTCAATGAGTGCGAGGTCCCATGCCGATAGTACTGCCTCCTCTAGCTCTGGTGTCAAGATGACCAGCTTTGCTGAGCAGAAGTTTAAAAAGCTGAACCATGTGGAGGGACGGAGCACCAGCAGCAGCTCCCCCAAGACCACCCCCGAAAGCTCTGAGCTTAATATCCCACACATGGTGGGATGGGCTCCGATGGCTCAGGAGAGTCCCATCCGTCAGTCTCCCCGAGACCCTACGCAAATGCTAGCCTCAGAAATGGTCCATCTGAAGATGAAACTGGAGGAGAAACGGAGGGCCATTGAAGCACAGAAGAAGAAAGTAGAAGAGGCTTTTACTAGACACAGGCAGAAGATGGGCAGGACAGCCTTCCTGAATGTGGTGAGGAAGAAAGGGGGTGCCACCTCGCCACTCAAGGATGAAGCAGGGGCTGGCGAGGGTAACTCATCATTTGGTGATCACCAGTCCAACAAACCACCTGCTAATGGCAGCCAACAGCCTGTGAAGGGTAAACTGGAGGGTGAAGACACGGACCGAAGCCAGGTCACGTGGATGAAGTCCTCCAGCGACGAGAGCGCCAGCGAGGTGGATATGGCAGAGTACACCAAGTCCATTGAGAAGCTGAATGCCTCACTTAACTTCTTGCAAGTAGAGATGCAGAGACTGGCCCAGCAACAGGAGGTCATCATGCAGATGAGGGATCAGCAGTCGTGGGTCATCTCCCCACCCCAACCTTCTCCACAGAAACAAGTGCAAGATCTCCGCCATTCCACTCGCTCCGCGGGGTCTATGTCTCCTGTGCTGTCTTCTGCTGGGTCTCCTCGACCTGCCCACCGCTCTCCAGCAGCCATAAAGAGGAAATCGGCATCGTTTCACTCCAGGACCCCCAGGACCCCTCGGCCGAGTGAGCTGAGAATCACCCCCTTCAATCGGATGCTCAATACCCCGCAGTCGGTCGACAGCCTCCCCAGACTGCGAAAGTTCTCTCCTAGCCAGACCCAGACCACCTCCTACACGTACTTAGGTCACGACTCCAGGCCCACGAGAGGCCCAGACCCCAAGCCTGAAGAAAGCACACAAAGCACCAAAAATGGACAGCCGGCAGCGGAGACACCAGCGCAGGCGACCATAGCTGTGGATCCAGCTCCTGCCCCAACCAAAGAAACAAAGCAGAAAGAGCAGGACCGAAGGGCAGTGGTGGATCTCAGAGAAGGGAGCAAACCCAGGGAATCCAAAGTGTCTGAGGTGTTAACCCAACCCGTTACAGAGACCTTCACTGTCATACCATCTGCAAATCCCACCGGAGCCACTGGTCCCACTGCCAAGAACTTGATAGAGGTGCCACTGTCTGTTTTGAAACCACTGGAAGGCCAGGGACTAGAAAAGGATGAAAGTGGAGCTGGCGAAGAGGTTTCCAAAGAAGAACAGAAAACGTGCTGCGGCTTCTTTTTCAAGGTAAAGATATGAACTATGATATATGGTCACAGTAGCCTGGGATCATGCTAAAATGTGCTAGGATTCAAAACACAAGACACGTCAGGTTGCAACTGAAATTTTCATTTAAATTCCTTTGGCTTCTCTTATTTAAAATGTTAATGAATTAGCATACCCACTTTTACATCTGATTAATGAGTTGTGCATTTAAAGGGAGGAAACTGTCAGAATATTGAGAAAATACAGTCAGCAGGGCTCTGATTCAGGTCATAATTCTAGTTTATGAATAATTAAATAAAACTCACAAGCAGAAGATTTTCTGCAGAAGTTCACCAGCTGACAAGATTCTCAAAAATTGTACATGAGTAACTTACACATTTTGCACCGCAAAATATTCTGTAGTTTGGCATCTGACAGGAAGAGTTTGGGTTAATTTGCTTTCAAGCATGAGTGATCACAGATGAAAGGATCATGTTTGACGCGGAAGGGCTTGAAATGTCATAGTGAGGCCGTTATACCTCTGGCTGTGGCTGTTTCCAGGATGACATGAAGGGCGAGGAAGACATTGCTCTGAAGAGAGCAGCGTTGCTGGAGAAGAGGCTAAGGAGAGAGAGGGAAACTCAGCAGAAGAAGCAGCAGCAGGAGGCCGAGCAGGAGCAGAGGAAGGAAATGACAAGGTGAGCCCCTCCCACTTCCTCTGCATCACTTCCTGTATGACCTCACATTAACTCCCCCCAACCCTGAACTGGGATGGAAGATGGTTGGCTGGGTGGATGAAGATATTCCAAAGTTCAGTCAATGGGTACAATATATACCTAAGGATACATTGTATATATCATATCAGTGTTTATACTGTATCAGACTGTATACTGTATCAGATAATGTTAAGGTCCTTAACCCCCAGGTCCCTGGGCGCCCCAACAGCTGGCTGCCCTTCGCAGACAACTTACTCTACAAAGAGCAAGTTTAGGGAGCCGTATAGACAATTTTCCCTTGGGGATCAATAAAGTATCAATTGTTATTATTATTATTATAATTTCTTCACAGTATTTTGGAAGAACAGTGCCGTCAGTCATGTAGTCTTTTGTATGCAGAACATTATTTAAATGCTCACAACAAGCATTTATGCACTGAGATTCTGACTTTTGAAACTCCAAGTCTTTGCCTTCTCCACTGCAGACTTTGCTATTTAGGACTTATTTCTACCCTGGAACCTTACTTATGAGTAGTTATTATACATCACTCCAATAAACAAAGGCACCATAATTCCAAATATACCTCAGTGCAACAATATGTATGCACTGTGCATGTGCATGCATGTATGCATATTGTTGTACTGAGGTATATTTGGAATTATTGTGCAGCTGTATAACTTAGTCCAAAAGTGTGTGGCTCAGTGGGCTAAGCCTCTGTGCCTGTGATCAGAAGGTCGCCGGTTCGAGCTCAGCCTTGGTACATCTGTGGGTCCCTGACTAAGGCCTGCAATGGGTGGCCGCCCTTCACGGCCAGCTCGCTCTCACCTACAGAGAACAAGGTTGGGGGGGCGTAAAGAGAACTTCCCCATCGGGATCCATAAAGTATCAGTTATTATTAATGTGAATATTGTCGTCATTTCCCATCAGAATGAAAGCGGAAGAGGAGAGGCAGAAGAAGGAGGATGAGAAGGCGCGCAAGGAGTTTATAAAGCAGGAGTATCTCAGGAGGAAACAGCTTAAGCTGATGGAGGACATGGACAGTGTAATTAAACCCCGCCCCCTCAGTGCCAAGCAGAAGAAGCCCCGCCCCAAATCCATACACAGAGACGTTATGGAGTCTTCCAAGCCTAGTGCCAAGGCTACTGCAGGTAAACCCGTCAAGGAGGTCATTCAGTTCCTCCTGCTGCCCCTGCTGTCGACCGATCTCCTTTGTCCCACCTCACTTCAAGTGGCCATTTGTCAGTGTGCAAATTTTCAAGCCATTTTCTTGATCATGCTGTTCTTCAATTACATTGTGGCCTTTACTAATCTAATTGATATTCAGCTGATGTCCAAATATTATCAAAACCCTCATTTTATGTTTTTTAATACATTCGTATATAGTTTTGTGTTTAATTCAGAACTGATTCTCATACAGTATACCGAACAGCAATATCGCGTATCAGCAGTAGTCTAGCACTACAGGAGAAGGCTTAACTGTTTGTTCAAACCTGGGCTTATATGAGATTGACATGTGATGATGTGTTTTTGGAGGGGAAGCACTTGTGAAATTGTGCATATTTACCAAATCCTGAATCCTTCAAAATTTTTCAAACCGTTATAGTCAATGGTGCCTCAACAGTGGTGCTGCTGCAAGGTGTGCAGCAAACCCTCAGGTCTGATGTGATGGTGTTTGTCCTACATTCAGGTTCACGGCCTCGTGTTCATTCAGTCTCAAGTCTGTCTCTGGCTTCCCTCAATCTCAGGGACAGTGAAAGCCTACAGTCTGAGAGGGTCCTCCCCAGGTAAGAACATCACCCAGCCCGAGTTACCATTTCAGTCTTAACACTCTCACAAAGCATTTGGTTATTTGTGTCATGCAGTTTCTCTTTTAGGCTCTAGGGGGCTTTAGTGCTTTACCTCAATTTCTCATGGAAGTACTGAATGATACCGGAACCTTATATTATAGCAGTAGCATTGAATTATTTATTAAACATTTATTTTTTTTGCAGAAAGTGTAATATTTCTTAGTGCTAATGTTGAATTTATGATATTTCTGTCTGTTTTGATAATACCGCAGTTTTTATGCTTAGATTTTGTCAGAATGAAATGCTTGCTTCTGCTGATCGTTGCAGCAATTTTATTTAAAAACGAAAATTGATCTTTGATTAACTGTCATTAATTTGTCTATAGAGACATTTTTCTCTTAACTCTGATCAGATTCAGATGCCAATGCAGTCTTATACAACTTGCATATTGTCGTATCTGTTTTGTGCTGTAACCTGTCCTGTGTGTTACTGACTATCCCATGAATGTCTAACTGAAGTTCCTTCTGTACTCTTGACTTCACAACGTTTTGACTCGAAAGCAAAAAAAAAAAACTGACATTGTCTGTTCTCCACACCTTTTTATTCTCCTCGCATTCTTTCTGGAATATTCTCGAGCAGTAGGCTAGCTTCTGTCAGCTTCTCCTACTTTCTGAGCTCTCCTAAAGTGAAAAAAGGAAGGTTGGTCTCTTTGCTGTAACCCAAGTCACTCCATTACTGCTGTTGTCCTACCCGTTTGAGGGATTATGTCACTGAGATAATGTCAATATACCGAGCTGAACACCTGCCGGTCACTCTCAGAAATAAACCTTAAAAAGCTATAATTATGTTACAGTAGTTAATTTTAAACACAACGATACTATTGCTCAGTGGGTCAGGGTGCTGCGTCTGTGATCGGAAGGTCACTGGTTCAAATCCCAGGGTTGGCAGAGCATTGTCACCACTGGGCTCTTGAGCAAGGTCCTTAACCCCCAAATTTCTCCAGGAACTGTACATTACTTTGGATAAAATACAAGATTAAATGTTGAATTAAATACAAGAATCAAAAATACAATGAGAATATTAATTTATGAAAATGCAACCAAACAAATCTATCTTTTCATACTGAACGGCTGTATGACCTGCTAATTAGACCCTGTACATCCTTTCTAAGTAGCATTGACCATCTTAAAAACATTTTGAATAAACATTGATAATTATAAGCTCCAGACCCAAACTCACTCCTTTCCCCGCAGCCCTGACTAGAAAAACATTTGGAACATGCATAGATCGGTGAATTCATATAATTCTTTCTTTTTTTGTTAAAAACTCGCAAAAGTGCTAAAGTCCTTCACTTCTACTACATAACCAAAATAGCTCAATATACTTGCATCCCTCCGCATCATTTCATATATAAATCATACGCTTTGAAGTTGCAACACAGCTGGTGCCTACCGCGTCTAATCCCCATGATATTTTCATCGTAACTGTTTAGTATCCCACTCTGTCACCTGCCTTCTGAACATATCCATCAAAGCTTTGCTTCAGAAAACTCTAGCACAGTGTTTCCCAATCCGGTCCTCGTGGACCGACAGACAGTCCGTGTTTTTGCTCCCTCCCAGCTCCATAATGTGAATCCTGTCCCCGAGGACCGGATTGGGAATCACTGCTTTCGCAGCCTTGTTTCCTTCGCTGCATGAGCTTTTTTCTACATGTGGAACGCATCATGTGACTCGTTAGAACCACAGAGGTGAGGAGAGTGATGTCACAGGGTACTTGCTGACTACTTCTTTGCCTACCATACCTCGCCCTTCCCCAATCCACACCCAGACCAGACTCGGCAGACGGATGTCTTTCCCCCTGCCGCTCAGGAAGCCGAAACGGAGAGAAGGACTGGGAGAATGGCTCTACCACGTCATCGGTAGCTTCCAACACAGAGTACACAGGTTTGGGTCACTTGATACATATTTGAGTATTTTACACATGCTAATGAGTGTATAAGTCAATTACTAATTTTCCATGCTTCTTTTTCCAGTTGTGGAATGAATGTAGTTACAAATGGTTTCACAAAACAAAAGAACAACTTGCTCCCTTTTCTGTTATGAAGCTCATCAAGATTTCTTCCCAGTAGCCTATAAGTAGCATTATCACACATTTAAATTCAGAAACCCCTTGAAGTCTGAAGATTTTGAGTTTGTCTCTGCACAGGACCAAAGCTGTACAAGGAACCCAGTGCCAAGTCTAATAAGCATATTATCCAGAACGCCCTGGCCCACTGCTGCTTGGCTGGGAAGGTGAATGAAGGTCAAAAGAACAAAATATTAGAGGTAGGAGGCGCAGTCTTAAGTCAGCTTGTAATTTAGTTACAAGCGTGGGAGAGAGTTCTGGCGATTTTATGTTTAGGCATTTATCCCAACAGCAGAGTGACCGCTGCAGTGAAATGAATTATAATATAACTTATATATTATATATCATTATTTTTTTCAGGAGATGGAGAAATCAGAAGCCAACAACTTCCTGATCCTTTTTCGAGATTCGGGTTGCCAGTTTCGATCCGTGTACACGTACTTCCCCGAGACGGAGGAGATCACCAAGCTGGCAGGCATTGGACCAAAGACCATCACCCATAAGATGATCGAGGGCCTGTACAAGTACAACTCTGACCGGAAGCAGTTCAGTCATATCCCTGCCAAAACCATGTCTGCCAGCGTTGATGCTGTCACCATCTACAGCCATCTGTGGCAAACCAAAAAACCAGGAACTCCCAAGAAAGTTCTCTCGACAAAGTCTTAGTGGAACTTAACAAGGTTTTTTGTTTTTTTTTTTTAAATTGGGACACTCCCAATCAACACCATGCCATACTGTACATATCCTTTTGGATTAGGCACAATTCCATTTTTCTGACAAACACACACCTCTTCTTGCTTACATTTCCTCATTTATTTTTGTATTTTTTTCTCAGCCGAAACAGAACTCTGATGTGGTCATGCACAACTGGAACGTACATCACCATTAGGTATCAAATAAAAATTACTAAGGTGTTCAACACACCCAACCATGGACAACTGGGTGATTTTAATAAAGTCTTGAATGTGTGCATGTGTGCAGTTCTCTGTGTGCTGAAAAGAAAGGGAGTGAGTGTCACATGATCTTGTACACAGAAGCACTGAATGTTATTTGTCTGTGTAGGTAAAATTTTCATACGTTAACATTTGTGGCCTTATGCTTGTTTTGATTCGTACTTGACAGCAGCCAGGCATTTGTGAGCTTATCTCATTTGTATGCTTTCCTGTATGCTGGCTTCTGATTTTGTGATTGTCGCGCGAAATTTCAATATAAACAATCAGTTGAGACTGTGTGCGGAAGCAAAGTGGAAATGGCGCCTTCCATTGGTATTTGGAAACATTGCCTTTACGCAGAATGGTAAATTACTACTGAAATACAACCAATTTGCTGGAAACTGGCAACAGACTTTGATTAATTTATTTTTACTATAGGAAACATTGCCTCTACATTGTATATGCTTCAATAGCGACAAGTGGTTCAGTGACTGTATATAGAACATTTTGTATTCCAGGCAAATAGTTGAGCTAGATCTTGTCCTTGACCAACCTAAGATAACTGTAAAAAATTTGAAAATACTTAGAATATACTGTTCTGAACACATTCATTGTATTTACCGATCAATGTAACAGAAAATAAGTTTAGAATAAAAGATACAAAAATATAGTTTAAAAGGTTTGTAACATGTTTGGATCAGATATAGATTCAAATCAATGTACTGTATATACAGGCAAATCTTGAATTAGACTATGTGACCTAGTTTGAAATTGTAAATAGCTTTAAAACAAGTGATTCATGGGTACCACAGAAACATTGTGTTTAATTAGTGACTCACTTGCTTAATCCTGTAAATCAAAGTACAGATTTGTGGGGCTGAACATAATATCACTTGTTAACTATTGGTAAAATATATATTTCTGCTATCGATGCTTTCATTTGAGCTGTGTAGATTAATATTGAAATATGAAGTATTCTATTTGGCTTTTAACCATGACATTGTTTTATTTATATACCATTGGTGTCCTTTTTATAGCATGGTCTTTTCAAATAAATTTATAACAACAAGATTCAGTGGGATGTGGGTAATCTGTGCTCTGCACTGTGTATGTTTGGAAAAGACTGCAAATAACTTACCTTTTACTTAAGATTATTTGAATCCAGGCCCATTCTGGATTTTGATTTGTGCATCATAATGTGCATTTTAGTTTAAATGAACAGTTTCTTTATGTAGTTATATGTACATAATTGGTAACAAAAAAACAATATATATGACAGTTGCCTTTTTTTTATATAATTGGTCAAAGATTATTCATATTACTTGCATGGACATGATGTACTTGTAACCGAAAAACTACAAATTATGGGGAACCTGTTTTTGTACTTAAAAATCTAAATTAAACAAGTATAGAGAATAATCAAATTGATCAAATACTATATACGGTCATATCAGCATAATTCACAATCTGATTTTTAATTGGAAAATGACTTCAAATATCCTGTTACAAATTATGGCTGAAGATTTCATTGTATGTATTGCACTACATATTTTAAATCATAGATTAAATAAATACATTGTATTTCTAATCTATTAGATACAAAAATACACTTTTACAAAGTTTTAAAGTAAATCTAGAGAAAAGCTGCATGTTATGTAAAAGACCTTTTTGCCATAACAAATTAATCCAGAATTTTCAGAACCTCATTGTAGTTGGCGTAGGGAAAAATTACTGTTGTGCATCTCAGAGTTTTGTGTTACAGAAATTCAAATGGTTAACTGGTGTATGGTAACATTCCTCCGCATTATGCCTATACAACATGCAAAAACAAGCCATGCTTGTGCTCAGATTCTCCCTGATGACTGTTCCTGTGTAAACACGCTTGTATCTGCTTTGGTTCCATGCACCTTGCACTGAACAGGTGCCCCTTCAGAAACAGTGTCACAAATATACCGCAATAGATGCATTTGTTTGTGCCATTAGTCCAGCAAAATGAAAAATAACAGGTATATCTATATATGTTAATGTATATGACATTAAATGATAATTATCAAAAGTTATTTGTCAATTGATATTTCCAACCCAAAATTAACCCCTTTTATAAGGTGTTGAGGTTGCAACAGATGGATCAGAAATGACAGTTTATACAAATTGTTTATTTTGTTATTTTAAAAAAATAAATGTTCCTTTTTGCAGGTCTGTTACAAATGCATTTCTGGCAAAAATCAGAAAGAAAATGATGCCTTTGACGTTTCATTGTATGAAAGAGGTTTGACTTATGGTCTTATTTGGCTGTTTAAAGCCAAGATGAATAGCTAGCAATTGTAAATGGATGCTGTTGAGTATCGTTCTGTGTAACGTCCTGTTTTGCCATAAAAATATAATATTCTACAGCCCCCGTGCAGTAACCTGTTAACATATTGCTCAAGTCATGTGTGTTTTTCTTTTGACTTGAATAAAAACAAGCATGGCCTCCACTATTTGTATGACTCTCAGTAATGTGCGTTTGTGTTTGCCTATGAGCAAGTACTTTTTTGTTTGTTTGTTTTTAGCAAATACAAGGGGGTGAATTATTTAGTTTATATTTAGTTGTTCATAATGAAATTCCAACATAAGTAAAATGTTAGGTCGTTAAATTAATAAACTCATAAACTACCCAATTTTAATCAACAGTGATATCCTTTATTTCCATTTGCTCCTTTTATGCTACCACTACTAGATGCATGCACATGGCCTTTTATTTAGCAGGAACTACAACTATCATATACGAATTTGTAGCAGCGTCATACACACATATTTGTATTCATATATTTGTTGGGACCATCCAAACAAAATTCAAGACGTTTGGCATTTTTAGTTTTTATTGCAGTCTAGGATTTTTATATAACACATACGTGTGTGTTTGTGTGTGTTTATATACACACAAAACAACGGCCAACTGCTTGCTTTAAACAAACCCACCTACTGTTATCCGCATTCAGACACTGGATATCCGAGACGATTCCGCTCTCGGGACACGCCCTCGGCTCTCAGCAATACCGCAACGCCCAGCTCCAGCAACGCGCCATATCGCGACAGACCAGCGGCCACGCCCGCCGTTGCTCGCGACAGACCCGTGCGGTCCAGTACGCGATTATCGCGACAGGCAGTCCTCGCGCAGGCCGGCCCGGATCCTTCCCGCGTCCTGGGCGCGGCCCGCTGCGCGTTGCCGGCGTCTCATTGGCTGATCGCTGTGATCCCGTCTGACAGCCGGAGGCCGGGCCGCAGAGGCTGGGTGGGAGGAGACGGCAACCCAAAACAAAAAAAGACGGGGGAAACAAACCGACAGTCCGTAATACAAAACGCAGCGTGAGCACCGCAGCAGCGTGGAACATCTGCCGCACAAGCGAAACCGAAGACCGCCACCCGCAGTTAATGTATTTATAAAGGCGACAAGGTGAGGCTTTAAACGGCGTCCGGGCGGCCGCTCTCCGGGAGGCTAACGCTAGCTCGCAGACTAGCACGGGAAGCTAGGCAGGTAGCTGTCTGATGTTAGCCGATGCGTGTCCCGCTGCTAACTGAGCGATTCTTTCCGCGAATTGCATCCCCGGCCGGTCTTGATATCTCTCGGACCGGTCCCCTGGTCGCTTTGCACGGATAGCGTGCGTGGCTGAGGGCGGAGGGCTGAGCTTCGCCTTGTTTAGCTGCTGAGCTAGTAAAGGTATCCTGAGCGCGTCCTTATGCTCGCTTGCTTCTCTGCACCATCCCCTGCCCACCTCTCTCTCTCGTCCACCCCAATGATGATGCCCTCGGACCTGGTAAACGGCTGACAGCTGCCGTGCTCTCAGCTCTGTGGTCGCATTAGCCAGGGAGCTGCTGCCAGGGCGCTTTTGTTCATTGTAAAGGTATCGCGGTGACGGGTTTCGCCTTTTTGTGGCTGGGGATGGGTCGTTTGATTCCAGTCCTGTTCGGGGTGAAATGGTATGTTCAGCGAAGAAATATGCATTTCATCCCCTGCTGGATCTCAGTGTCCCGATAGCTTTCTGTCAGGTGGTTTGTGATGAATGAATTAAAGACCCTTGGCATTCACCAGTGATCCATGCTTTTGCGGTGCAGGTGCATTGTCCTAATACCGCGATTAACGTAATTTATGAATTTCGCCCTGGTCATTTTCGGGGTACAACTAGAAGTACAATAAAGTCTGCGCAATTTAAACGTAAATTCCCAGTCCTCTTCGGTATCATATTCGAAGCGATATATAAATGAATAAGGCAGAAGCTCCTTTCAAGAATCTCCAGAAGTTTGAAGCAGAAGTTTCAGTTCTGGCTATGATGCCACTTAATTTATTTTACCTCTTTAATACTTTACGTGTGGTAAACTCCCTGGTCCTGCGTGTCTCTTGTTTTTACATTATGAAGCACTTTGAGCTGTTTCCATAGAGTGCTGTTGGATTTTATATGCCTTAAAGCAATTACTTATTACTTCCCTTGACACCTTCATGTTTAATAAGATTAAGAAACTTTATTGATTCAATAGGGAAACAATAGTGCATGCAACAGAGAGTATGTCGAGGACAGATAAACCTACATAAAGTGCACAAACATAGAATGCAAATAGAATATGCTGAAAAACAGAGTATTGTAATATTACTAAAATAAATGTTTAAAGGTGTACAGATTGACATGATAATGATAATAAATTAGCAGATGGTATGTGTGCATAAAAAGTATCGCACCAGACTTGTAAAAGCAAAGTTTCTGCAGAAATGATTTCCTTGCTCCTTACTTCAAAGCAGTAGGAAGTCGTCCACCAGACCTGATCTGATATCCTTGGATTCATATACTCTCGAAACATTTACACTCATTCCGTTATTAACCTGTCAGGTCTTGTGCACTTTGTAAGTTCTCGTCTTTCATACGTTTCCTGCCAGGTCGTTTAAAGCTGACACCATGACAGCCGAGGAAACCATTAATATCAAGGAGGTGGAGATCATCAAGGTGATTCTGGACTTCCTGAACTCCCGTAAGCTTCACATCAGTATGCTGGCCCTGGAGAAGGAGAGCGGGGTGATCAACGGGCTCTATTCGGACGACATGCTCTTCCTAAGGTAACACCCCTCATCAAGGACGGCTGTGCATCCGCTGTTGGTCAGCTGCAGCCTCCCTGCAGGGTTGTATTCTGCCGCTAAACATCACACACACCATGGGGTCTGAGACGCACATGAGACTGCACGCTCCTTCCCTAATGGTGAACAGTGATGATTCTTTTTTTTTTAATTTTTTTTCCGGAAGACAAGGCTCTCTTTTTTTTAGCAGTCTGTGGTTTCATGTTGCAGATATTTGGTTAGAAAATGACCAGTAAAAAGAAGTTGTTTGAAAAAAACAGTATCGCAAATGGCAACAGTATATATTTTGGGAAACTTGTTTATATTTACCTGTTTATATTTACCTGTCTACCTTTTAGTGATAATCTAGACCAGAATTGTTGCTTTATTCCTATTATACAACAGGATTTGTTTTTTTTTTTTCCTTCCACGTTAAATTCTAAAAATGCACTGATAGAGGTAGTTACTGTTGTTGCTTTTTGGGAGATCTGCGCAGCTGCAGTCCCAGGTGACATCATCTTTAACTACAAGCCATTCTGTCCTTTTATTTTCCCAGGCAACTGGTCCTTGATGGCCAGTGGGATGAAGTTCTGCAGTTTATCCAGCCTCTGGAGTGTATGGACAAATTTGACAGAAAGAGGCAAGTTGACTTCACCTCAGAAGATGTTATATTTGTGCCTGAAAATGGGGAATGGCGACTTCCTCATTGTTTGAGGAAGTCTGGATTTCTTAATCCCATGAAGAGTTGCCTTTTATGTGTGGGAGCCACACCCTTAATAACAGTGAGACAAAATCCTGGCAGCGGTGGGCCGTTGTGTTTTTTGAACATTAAACTTGTTTGTGCTAGTTGCAGTGATTACACTTTGGGTGAATCTCAGAATGCAAAAACCGTACTCATGGTCTTGGCAAGACCGGTCTTGTGAACTTGCCTTCCAAGACTGAACTTGAGACGCAATGAATCATGGGATTGACTTCATTTGGCGAGGATACAATCAATGTATCCTTAATATTTGGGGCAGAGCAAGACCGACATCCGATTTCTTCCGTCCTCTATGTACATATATTCAGTTTCAGCCTTTCACTGTCAGTGGTTGGATCTCTGGTGCTTTTATAGAGCTGGGAAAGCTACAAATATTGTGTCCCCACCAGGATTGGGAACTGTTAGAAGTTTAATTTCCATCCTGTTGTGGTGGAAAGGGCTGTTAACATACAGCCAGCAGAGGGTCCCTCGAGTGACACTCAGCTTGTCCCTTCAGGTTCCGCTACATCATCCTGAAGCAGAAGTTCCTGGAGGCCCTGTGCGTGAACAATGCCATGTCTGCCGAGGATGAGCCCCAGCACGTAAGTAGGGGCGTGAGCGGGTGGGGGATGGTGGCTGGGGGATTGGATCTGAGAAATGGCAACCCGGGCTACCAGATGAGCTCGCCAAGGGGTACAGACCCAGGGCTGCACATGGGGGATTAGATCTGGGAAATGGCAACCCGGGCTACCAGATGAGCTCGCCAAGGGGTACAGACCCAGGGCTGCACATGGGGGATTAGATCTGGGAAATGGCAACCCGGGCTACCAGATGAGCTCGCCAAGGGGTACAGACCCAGGGCTGCTCAGGTCCAAATCTCTCATTCAGGGTTAACAAAAATATTTAGATAATAGATACTGTTGTAAGTGAAATGTGATTTTGCAGTTCTAGAGTTACAATCTTTATTTTACTGGCTTACATACTTAGTGCATTTTCTGTCTGCTTAATTCCACTGAGCCTGTACTTGAATATCTGTAGGTATGACGTGGTTCGAATGGCCTAACCACAGTAAGCTCAGTCCTCTATTTTGCTTCTAGTAACATGATTAAAATTAAAACCCAGCATATGAGCTCTCTGGCCTCTGATCTGGAATGCCTACTTTATGGTTTTAATGTTCTCTGGGGTGTTAATGGCTAATGCAATATTTAGTTGTGAATGAAAGCAGAACATTATGTGACATTTAACATTGAAGTTAAAATGCATTGAGGGCCAGAGTATAGTATACAGGTAAGGCGACAAGGTGGCGTGGGGGTCGACGGCTGACGGGTGGCGTGGGGGTCGATGGCTGACGGGTGCCGGTGTCTCCCCAGTTAGAGATCACCATGCAGGAGGCTGTGAAGTGCCTACACGCTCTGGAGGAGTTCTGCCCCTCCAAGGAGGACTACAGCAAGCTGTGTCTGCTGCTGACGCTGCCGCGACTCACCCACCACGCCGAGTTCAAGGAGTGGAACCCCAGCACGGCCCGCGTCCACTGCTTCGAGGAAGCCTGTACCATGGTGGCCGAGTTCATCCCGGCCGACCGCAAGCTGAGCGAGGCGGGCTTCCGGGCCAGCGGCAACCGGCTCTTCCAGCTGCTGATCAAGGGCGTGCTGTACGAATGCTGCGTGGAGTTCTGCCAGAGCAAGGCCACGGGCGAGGAGATCACGGAGAGCGAGGTGCTGCTGGGCATCGACATGCTGTGCGGCAACGGCTGCGACGACCTCGACCTCAGCCTGCTGTCCTGGCTGCAGAATCTCTCCGCCAGCGTCTTCTCCTGCGCCTTTGAGCAGAAGCTGCTCAACATCCACGTGGACAAGCTGGTGAAGCCGGCCAAGGCGGCCTACGCCGACCTGCTGACGCCGCTCATCAGCAAGCTGTCGCCGTACCCGGCATCGCCCCTGCGCCGCCCCCAGTCCGCCGACACCTACATGTCGCGCTCACTCAACCCGGCGCTGGACGGCCTCTCCTACGGCCTGTCCACGCAGGACAAGCGGGTGGCCGACATCGGCGGCAAGACCTCGCCCATGTCGCACTCCTTCGCCAACTTCCACTACCCCGGCGCCCCAAACCTGACGCGCAGCCTGATGCTGGAGAGTTCCGACTGCCACAGCATCTTTGAGGAGTCCCCGGAGAGGTGACCTTCGTTTGCCGGGGATAGCTGACACATAACGGCCCCACAGCTGGTAGTTTAGGGGCTACGTTTAATTATACATAGTAATGATGATAATAATTCCATACAAATAACAACAATCGTGGTTGTCATTAATAATAATGATAATAATATAATTGTGTTGCCAGTCAATTGTGACAGTTTTCTGTACCCACTTGTGCTACGCAGGGTTGCGAGGCTCTGAAGCTGCATATTATTATTATGGTTGTTTTTGTTTTGTTGTCGTTTGTTGTCACTATTATTGCTGTTGTCATCATTATTATTGTTTTGCTGTTGTTTTGGTATTAGTAGTAGTACTGGTGTTAATATTATTGTTATTTTTATGATTATGTAGGACTTCGTTCTACCTCGCTGTATGTTCAGCGTTCAGCCTGACTCACAGGCATAAACACTTATACCCCCGGAAAAACAAACAAAAGAGGTTTCCCTCTGCCTGCTGCCTTAATCCCCGGGAGGCCTGAACCTCCTCCTTCTTTACCTACTGTAGGCACCTTGCTGGGCCGGGGTTGAATTTTTAGCTTGTGTTTTTATGCGTTTTTTCATTATAATTTTTTTTATAACCTACAATATCAAATTCCTGTTTATTCAGAAGGGAATCTGATCATTCCTCGGTGTGGTAGATTGGACAATCCAGGCTTAAACGGTCACTCTACTCAAATAACATTTTCTATAAAATGCAACAAGGGGAACTGTAGCCTTATTTGATGTTATCTGTTTATTTTGGGGTGGGATTTTGTGATGTTGTGGGATTACCCAGACTGCTTTGTGGCTCTCCAGCTCCAGGACAGACACGCCCGTGGACAAAATGATGGCCTCGGGGGGGCCAAACACCGTGAGGCCCGCTTCAGCACCCGGGGGGGAGGCGCCGGCCACGGGGCCTACTGAAAAGAATGAGGTAAAGGCCCCCCGCCATTGTATTCGGGCTGCCCCAAAAGGCCTTCCCAGGGGGCTTTAAGGATTATTTTTGGGGGTTTAATATTAAACCAGTTTGCAGGGTTTTTTTTCTGAAACTTACTGGGGCACAGAGTTGTAGTTTTTGGTGTCCATTTAACAACAGAACTAGGCGATTGTCCAGAACACGCTGCCTGCTCCGGTCCTCTCCTTAATTTAGCGGACTGTAAATTCACTCGTGTGACCTTAACCTCACGCCCATGCAAAATCGTCGCAGCGGGTGAGGCTGCGGTGTCTCTCACCGTGACACATAGCTGACTCTGCAGACTTCGATTCATTGCCATGGAAACCCGTTTGACCGCGGAGACAGCGGCGACGGTGTGAGCAGAATTAACACGTGTTGTCAGTGGCGCTTGGTTCGATCAGTGTCCAGCGCGGCGCTGTCCGGACCTGGGCCTGTAAGCCTGGCTTTCTCCTAGAATCGCTGATGAATGACAAACCCTGTGCCGATTTCAATAAGGGATTATAGTCTCTGGCCCCCAGGGGTGGTGTCTGGCTTTTCCTGCCAGCTGGTGCTCAGTTTGGGGAGGGGGGGGCTAGCTAGCCGCCGCCAATCAGACTCCCAGAATTCATGGGTGAGTAAGACACATCCTCACCCTGTCCGGCTCAGTACTTCCAGTACATCCTTTTCCATCATGTGATTCCTCGCAGACACTGTCCCCGTTGCTGCTTTCACGGCCCAACCCAAAACAAGACAATCCCACTAAGCTAAACAAATAGGATTTCTCTTTGTTATTCATAAACAATCCGCTGATGTTGCCATTTTAGAATGTTCTTTTTCTCACTAGCTATATAAATGTCCCACTTTTGTTTTCTGAAATGGTGCGTACAGCACAGACTGCTGGGGGTAGAGCTGGTGTCTTGGCCGTTCCAAGACTGGGCTCCCACAGTGTGGGAGTTTGGCTGTGTTTCAGGTAAACGTTGGCTTGGTTGACTGTAAGGGATTTCGTCTCCCCTGATCCTGCTCTGCAGACACGCACTTCTACTCAAATGCAGTAATTGTGTTGATCTGGTTTTTTTTCAGCAGCGTGTTTACATTCTCAGGCAGAAGTTACTGTTTTCGAAAGCATCTGACTGCAAATCGCTGTGTTGCTGAAGGTGCAAGGTTCTCTAAATAGCATTTTGTAATAATGAAATGTACTTCAGAATCGCAGCTTCCTTTAACTGCTTAAGTTCAAAGTACTGACTTTAATGGCCAGATTCAGCCACATCAACATCTTTATAAGTGAGCATTGTGTTAGAAATAACTTATTTTATGCACTGCCCCTTAAGCCGTCTGGTTCGATTTTCTGCACCGTCGCACCTCTCCAGTTACGGCGCCCTCTACTGACCTGGCTGTCCTGCGACTCTCCCGCCATTTCCCCGGCAGCTTCGTGACTCCACAGAGCAGTTCCAGGAGTACTACCGGCAGCGGCTGCGCGTCCAGCAGCACCTGGAGCAGAAGGAGCAGCAGAGGCAGCTCTACCAGCAGATGCTCCTGGAAGGCGGAGTCAGCCAGAACGAGGTGCCCCGCCCCCAGCAGAACCTCACGGAAAAGTTCCTCAACAGGTCAGTCCTCACGGCCCTCAGCTGGCCCCAAACCCCCATGTTTCCATGAAATCTTTGCACCTCTGCTAAGCTAAGCTTGCATCCCTAATTGGTTAAGCAAACGATGCCAAACCTCACAGGATTGGCTGAGCCCCGGGGCCCCTGTTTGATCATTGACTCCTGTCACGTGGCCACCATGTTGTCCCTGTGTTACTGTCCTGCGGGGTAAGGGGGTGGGCTTGGGGTAAATGCAGGAGGCCCTTGTTGGGTTTCTGATGTCTGCAGGGAGGCTGAGTTAATGAGGTGATGCCTGTTGGGGGGGTTGAATTGCTGATGAAGGCACCACGCTCTAGTGTCCCTCTGAAGACCCGTCGGGAAACGTTTCCTTCAGATTCGTTCAGTCTTGCCTTTCTGTGTATTTTCCTGGTTATATGCAGTCTTGTGTCGCATTACGCCCGATCAGATCCGGTCCTATGGCATTTATGTCCGAGGTCCACAGTAAATGATACACACTGATAGGGAGACGCCTGACAGCGGATGTAGTGAGATGTTAGCAGGTGTATCACTTAGTGTAACAGGTGCAGGAAAATGGGCAACGCTGCCAGCCGTACGATGACCCACTGTCTGTATCTAACTTGCAATAGAGTATGTATACAGTAATGTATATGAGATGGTCAACCTCAGTATTAAGCTCAAGATACACTCAGACTGACTCGTGTTTGGTGGTCCCGGTCCCAGATTAGAACGCAAGTATTCAGTTATTTTCTGAAATATTTTCCCGTTGGAGCAGAGAACCTACGGAGTCCCTGTGACGCTGCTGTGACTAGTGTGGCAGCTGGTTACATTTGGGCTTGGTGATGAAAGGGGTCTCAGGACAGAATGAAAGTCCTAATGGTGTCATTATGGACAGCCTCATAAATAATTCAGAGTGGGGGGGATAAGCAGTCATTTGTTAAATATTTTTTTCAGAAGTCATTTAAAATGATGCATGTTTTAACCCTTAAACTTTAATGATAGTTAAAGAGAAAAGGAATGATTTGTGGATACCTTTTCCCGTCAGAAAAGGGCGAGCGGTGGATTGCGTTGTCATGGTGAGCAGGGAGGGAGTAGCCTGGTGGGGAGGGGTTATGGGGGGGGGGCAGACAGGACTCCAGATGGTGTGGAGGATTTAGTACCACCAGGGAGGGATCACATTGTAATGCTGTCACCCTAGGAGCTGTTAAGTTGTCCAGGGTCACAGCTGCCCTGTGTTGTCGTGGTGGCTCCCAAGAGATTCACCACCTCCCATAATGCTATTCTCATATCACACTGGTTTGCCTTGTCTTGTATTGGGTCGACCTGCAATTCAAATGAGAATGAATTGTTACCTTCATTGTATTTTTTATCTGCTATCAATAGTGAATATTGTATTTTTCCATTGTGTTTGTTTTAATAGGGAGTGTGTGCATGCGTGTATGCATGTTTGTGTGAGTCTGTTGTGTATACATGAAAAGGCACTCGGAGCATGTTTGCTTATTAATAGTATCTGTGAAGATTTTTATTTGTTTAGTAGATGCATTCGTACAAAGTGGTTTACAAGCAAGGCAGGTAAACACTACAAGTAACAGCTGTCAAGGAACCAGCGTAGGTACACATGCAGTTGGGGTGAGCTTATTGTGAATGACTTGTAACAAGCTGATGTCAGAATTGGAGCAAGAGCTATATAATACACTACAAAACATGGTGAGAACCTAACAGAAGAGCTGTTCAAAGCATCGGCTGGGTTGCCACGAGACGGGCACAATGTCAGCGTATTGTCAAAGCAGATACATCTAATATCCATGGAACTGGCTTGAGCCTCCAGTATGCCAGTATAATGGATACAAGGACCCACTGTGCTGACCGTCTTTCTGCCTGTTTGTTCAGATCCATTCAAAAGCTGGAAGAGCTGAACGTGGGGATGGACAGTCTGGGTGAAGACGTCCAATCGCTGACCCAACAGTGCAATGGCAATGTGGAGGGCAGCCCCAGCAGCGGCGACCCGGAGCCGGCCGAGCCCGAGCAGGACCATGCAGGTGCCGGTGTGGTCAGCAGCACTCCCCAGAGGGCTGGGGGCCGTCGGATTCCAACGATTGATGAATCCCCGGTGCCCGCGGTCCCAAGGTGAGCAAAGATTCACCAGACTGACCCTACTGGCCACGCATGCATTACAGCTCAGGTGGAAATGTCATTTAATGATGTCACACAGAGAGGTTATGATGTCACAGCTGATTTTGTATGTGTGTGCAGCACGCAGAAGACCCAAACAAAGCAGCCCATTGGCCACGAGGAGCCAGGCCACTCCCCAACACGCAACAAAGCCCAGGAGGTATGACTCTGTTACTGTGATGGTTATACATTGTTTATGCACACATAGGTTAATAGTCATATTATCACCATACATTCCATACAAATTACGTTTGAACTCTATTTTTAAAGGAACAATGATTTTTGCATTTTTCAACAATTGTACAGAAAAGTGATGTTTTTCACTAAGATTTTGTCCCAGCTGGTGGCAGAATGACAGATTCTCAGACCTGCGTTACTTCTTGGACAGTTTTGTTTGTTTTTGGATTTACAGCTATCAGAAATATTCTAGCCCCAGTGTAGTTTGTTGAGTCTTTTAATCAGTTTTTGTTAGGATATGGAAAGTATATGGGAAGTTTTGTCTTCTGAGCGATACAAGTTTTATTGATTCATTTTAAGAAATAGACCCTTATTTCCTTAACAGTTTAGGCTCAGTATTTATCTGTATATCACGTGAAATGGCTGTGTGCCCACTGGCTTTAAGCCATTTATGTCTCTTAATATCTTTGAGAGGGTTGTTCATGCTTTTATTACAACGTGCCTTGACTATTGTAATGCTCTTTATGCCGGCATCAGTCAGGCTTCATTGTCATGATTACACCTTGTCCAAAATGCTTCTACTCTTCTCCTTACAGACTCTCGTAAACGAGATCATATCTCTCCTGTTCTTGCCGCTTTGCATTGGCTCCCTGTTCAGAGGAGAATTGAGTTTAAGATTTTACTGTTTGTTTTTAAGGCCCTACATGGGCTGCCTCCGTCGTATATTGCTGATCTTTTAGAATCTTATTCTCCATCGAGATCTTTGAGGTCTGCAGGCCAGTCCCTTCTACGTACTCCAAGGGCACGGCTTAAGAATAGGGGTGACGGAGCGTTCTCAGTACTTCCACCCAGGTTGTGGAACGAACCGCCTCGTCACTTCAGGCTGGGTTCTAGCCTCTCTGTATTTAAATATCAAAACTCGTCTTTATTCCCTGGCTTTTAATTAGCAGTGAGGCTGTACTTTCTGGTGGTCCGTATTTATTGTAGTTTATTATTATTATTTTTATGTGTTTTAAATTTGGTGTTCCATGACTTAATTTTTAATGTAAAGCACTTTGGTCAACATTGTTGTTTTTAAATGTGCTCTATAAATAAATTTGATTTGATTTGAAATGAAACCCTTTGCAGTGATGAGCGCTTTAGTGGGCGTTGTCATGCCATCCAGGCTGAGGGATCAGGCAAGCCCAGCATTTTCGGACCCATACAGGCCCAAAATCGGCTTCGCTTCCTTCTCCGTGTCGCTGTGTTATCGTCAGGCTAATGTCCACCCAGACTCTGGGCCTGTCTGCTGGGATTTCAACGCGTCCAGCTGAGTCACCCTGGATTATTCCAAATGGAGGGGCACAGATTACACTCCTCTGATTATACAGTAATTCCATTAGCGCAGCCTGTGAATGAAAAACAACGTGCTTTGTTTAGCAAGAAGTTTTATTCAAAGTAGGGCCTTGATTTTATTTATTTATTTATTTTAAATGACCAAATTTAATGTGTATAGATGGCACAGTGGATCGGGGGGTAGATTAATGTGTATAGATGGCACACTGGATCGGGGGGTAGTATTGCTGGCTCACACCTACAGGTTGGGGGGTTCGAATGCACAACTCCGTGAGTTTGCTTATTTTCCCTGTCTCTTGTGGTTCTCCACGAGGTACTTAAGCAAATTAGCATCTCTGAATTGCTTATAGTGCGAGGTTGAGTGTCTGTGTGTGTCTGTGTGTGTGTCTGTGTGTGTGTCTGTGTGTGTGTGTGTGTGTGTGTGAGTATCCAGCAATGGACTGGCTGTTAGTCCATAGAATTCCCCAGCTTTATACCCTGTCCGGTCTAAGATGGGCCACCACCCCCCCCCAGCCACCCTGTGACCCTAACCAGAATAAATGGTTGGAAGATGGATGGATTTAATCTGTAAGTTTGATTTCAAAGCAATTCTGTTTAATTTCCCTACTTCTGGGTTCAGCCTCTTATAAGTGGTGAATGAGCTGACGAAACCCCTAACCCTCCACTAAGGAAATTCTTCATAAAAACAAAATTATACTAGTAATAATAATAATTATTATTATTATTATTATTAATAGAGAAACATGCTGGTCAAGGATTGTGGGAAAAATCATGATTTTGCTTCTGAGTTAGAAAATTGATTCATATTTTGTGCAGCTGTACTTCACGCCCCTAGTCACCATGTGACCGTGTCCTTTGTGTCTTTCTCAGGACGACAAGCCCAAGGCCCAGTTTGTGGCCGTCAACAAGCTGGAAGACACACAAGCCGTTCGCGCTGTGGCCTTCCACCCCTCGGGGGCGCTCTACGCTGTGGGCTCCAACTCTAAAACGCTGCGTGTGTGTGCCTACCCGGACGTCCTGGACACCAGGTAGGGGGCGCTGTAGATGTAGATATGAATATGTTTTAACTCCTTTCAGTGTTTTTTTGGCTTTAATTTCAGTGCCAGTAAGTCGTCACATTAACCCCAATGCCGCCGTCCCCATCGCGGTCCCCACAGCGGCTCGGACCCCTCTAAGCAGCCTGTCGTCCGCTTCAAGAGGAACAAGCACCACAAGGGCTCCATCTACTGCGTGGCCTGGAGCCACTGCGGGCAGCTGCTGGCCACTGGCTCCAACGACAAGTACGTGAAGGTGCTGCCCTTCAACGCTGAGTCCTGCAACGCCACCGGTGAGCACGGCTTTGGAGGGCAGGGTCCCGTGCCAAGGGCGGCACGCTATATACCTGATGCGTTAGAATTTCTTGTCATGCCATGCGGATCTTTTTGTTGTATACGTTCTTATGACCATATCACATTTTTTTCATTATTCATTTATCATTATTTTCTGAGTCTGCATCTGTTTCCGAGGCGGCATGTTTAGAGGCAGGCTGTTGCATAACCAATCGACAAAGAAAGCATTTCAAGGCCCCCCCCAAAGTACCGAAGTACCAAAGAAGTACCCCAGCTGGTTTGGCGCTTTCGCTACTGGAACTTTTGGTACTGGTGCTCAATCAGAAGTCAGTGGAAAAGTGCAAGTATCAAAAGTATGGTACTTGGTGCAGTGGAAATGCACCCTTGGTGCAGGGCTACGTTTCCCGAAACCTTCGTACTGCCATGCAAACGCAAACACTGTAACTACATCAGAACGGAGTTATCACCATAATCGGTCCCTTGATTCTACTATGCTTGATTTTGAAGAGAACAATAATATTTCCCTACTTACTGTACATTTGGGTAGACAGTCAAAAAACTTTTGAAGCTCTCAGTTTCAGTGTTAGCGTAGTTACTGTGTTTCACCTTCGTGGGGCAGTGTAGCACTACGAAAATCGTAACTTCAGAGAGAGAGAATTCACTACGGTGACCCTCGGACAGATTCGGTCTCTGGGCTATGCCTCTGATGCCATAACATACCAGCAACAATCCCGGCCTGAACCGATAGCCTCATGTTTCAGCGCCGGTTACTGAATCTCTGTACTGCCCTGTGACTTATGACTGGCTGGGGATCTCCGGTTTCCATGGTGATCTGTGAAGAATGCTTGTTCGGGATGCTGAGTATATATGTTGCCACATGGTCCCCATGGTGATGTCCAGTAAGCTGCTGCAGGTAAGGTTATGAGGTCATCATAGCCGAGCGAGTGAGAGGCAGGGCTGAGAAGGCCGCAGTGACATGTGGGGCGCCCCCTGCAGGCCCGGACCTGGAATTCAGCATGCATGATGGCACCATTCGCGATCTGGCCTTCATGGAGGGTCCCGAGAGCGGCGGGGCTATCCTGATCAGCGCTGGCGCAGGGGACTGCAATATCTACACCACCGACTGCCAGCGGGGGCAGGGTCTGCACGCGCTCAGTGGGCACACAGGTATAAACCCCGCCCACAGCTGCCATGGTTACGGTGACGGGGGGGCTGCTGTAATTACATCTACGCGTTTAAGGAGTCTCTAGCCGTTACGGACTCCGAGCTGATCGGGAAGTCTCCAGCAGAGGGCGCCGGTGACGCTCGCTCACTCGCCATGTGTCTTCGGTCAGGTCACATCCTGTCCCTGTATACCTGGGGCGGCTGGATGATTGCGTCAGGCTCCCTGGACAAGACGGTGCGCTTCTGGGACCTGCGAGTGCCTAGCTGCGTCCGGGTGGTGGGGACGGCTTTCCACGGCTCAGGTGGGTGGGGTCCAAGCACACGGTCCCCCGCAGTGGGCGTGTCCGAGCTGCGAAGCTTATTGGTGTGTCAGGGGTCACTCTTTCTTTAGGCAGGACATGTAATTAACGATGAGCCCTGATATTTACGGTATATTATTATATACTCTACTTATATATTATTATTATTTATTTTCTTTCTTTTTATATATTTTTCCTGGGGCGGTACAGTGGTAAAGTGGGTGGCACTGTTGCCTCACACCTCCAGGACCAGGGTTCGAGTCTCCACTGTGGCACCATGTGTGTGGAGTTGGCTTGTTGTCCCTGTTCTCTGGGTACTGGTGCCCCCCCACAGTCCCCAAACATGCCCGTAGGTGTGCGTGTGTAAGTGAAAGGTGGATAAGTGTGCCCTGCGATGGGTTGGCACCCCATCCTGCCTTGCGCCTGTAGGGATAGGTTCTGTACCCCCCCCCCATGACTCTGAATAGGACAAGCAGATACAGATGGTGAATGGACATTTTTCCGATCAAGTAAATTTATGTTGAATTTTTATATAGATTTTTACTAATTTTCTAACTAAATGTCTTAGTTTTTTTGAAGCTTTTGTCTAAAGTAGGAAGTGATAAGGTGTATATGTTTGTAGATATATAAGTATGGAATATTGATCAGTAGCCGGATATTGGGGGGATATATTTAAGGGGCAGCTCATCAGCGCCCCCTGCCTGTCAGCTAACACTGCCCCGCTTTGCCATTCCCAGGCAGCCCTGTGGCCTCGGTGGCCGTGGACCCCAGCGGGCGGCTCTTGGCCACGGGTCAGGAGGACAGCAACTGCATGCTGTATGACATCCGGGGGGGGAGAATGGTGCAGACGTACCGCCCCCACACCAGCGACGTGCGTTCGGTGCGCTTCTCCCCGGGTGCGCACTACCTGCTCACCGGCTCCTACGACACCCGCGTGATCATCACCGACCTGCAAGGTGAGGCCCAACCCTCCCAGGCCCCGAGCCAAAAAGAAACTCATTAAAGTGACCCCCCTCCAGCACACGCCAGTCTGGCACCTACTTCATTGTCATTTGTCCTGTTCTCTTCCCCTTCCCTGCAACAGTGGCACAAAAATGTTCCTATGAACACATGACAATAAGACTTGAAACTGAAACTATTAAGCTTGAATAATATTTAGCTATTTATAGAAATTAGTAAGCCTGTTGTCAGTTTTTTTTTTTTTTCTTCCCCCCCAAAGCGACTGTGTGCTGTTGCGTCATTCATTGTGTCATTCTGTGCGCATTAAAAATACGCTGGTGGTGTCCTGCAGTCCTTGCCACGCAGCCTTGAACGTCTTCATCTTTCCGGCGTTTTTGACGGCCTCTTGCTTCCCCAGGCGACCTGACGAAGCAGCTCCCACTGACCGTTGTAGGCGAGCACGGCGACAAGGTGATCCAGTGCCGGTGGCACACGCAGGACCTCTCCTTCCTGTCCTCCTCCGCAGATCGGACTGTCACGCTCTGGACCCACACCTAGTGAGAGTGGCCGCGGGCGGGAGAGCTCCAGTCTGGCGGTGCTCACAGAGGCCCACTCCTCCCCTCCTTCCAGAACGAACTAGCCGATCACCGAGAGCAAAAATAAGGAACTCTCACTTGGTCCGTCTGTGTGTGTGTGAGTGAGTGAGTGTGTGTGTCTGTTTGCTAGCGCTGATGACCGACGTAATCATTTCTGCTGTGCTTGCAGTCTCTCACATTAGCGCTTCTGTGACTGAAATCTGTATATAGCGGCTCTGCTGTCTCTTAAGTATACACTTAAAAAAATGATTGATACAAGAACTCTAAAAGCACCACTTCTGAGCTCTCATAACAGGCGAAGGACACTCAGCTTACACACAGTCAAAGCGTGGTGATCTTACAGCTTACCGTGCCCTGGCATTAAGTTTGCATTTAATTAGCTGCAAAGACGGGATTTGGAAACCATTACTGTATAAGTTTTAATACAAACTGTGCCTTGTACAATCTGGTTCCATAGAAAGCTTTACACACCTCTCGTTGCTGGGTGAGCCCAGCTGTAGTGCATAGATAGCATGGCAGTTTGTTTCCTTGTCCACTACGTTTGACGACCTCTGCGATGCTGCTATTCGTTTATTTTATAAAAACAAAAAAGGTTGATGTTTTGTTGTTAACTGGTTGTGCAGTGTTTCCTAAAGTGTTATGAATATTATTGTCAAAATAACTGGTTATCAAATACTACAAAGGTAAGCTTTTGAAACAGTTTTGGTCCTTGTTAATGACAGTCATTGTTTTTCCCTCTTTTGCTCATGGAAGTTTGGCGGACTTCTAGATAAGTTCAAAACACTAGTGGCTTAGCTGTTACATTACGGAAGCTGTATTTCAGTCTGAAAGGTGCCTATGGGATGACAGCTGGCACAGAGCTCGTTTTAAATGGTTAGTGTGTGATCAGGATAGTGGGTCTGTTTTAACTCTGACAGTGAAGGGACTTTAATAAACCCTTTTTAATTTTTATTTTTGTTTGGTTTGCCATAAAGGTGGCATGACGGCTATGATGTCTGTTAGCCCTCTGTATTTAATTTTGAATACTAAATTTGTTAGCATTTGCATCTCTTAGATTAGGTAAATATACTAACATAATGTCACCATGGAGGAGTTGTCATGACGGCCGTCCGTTTGAAAGGGCGTTTTATACACTTTTTTTGTGGAGAGAAGCATGGCAGAACAATTTGGCATGATTAAATAAAAAGCAGAGACGTACTTGATTGCCAGCACAGAATTTGTTTAAACCATTTTCCGTTTTCCTAACTGTTGCACTTTGATCAGGGAACACAATCCTTTTGTGGTTCCTGAAGACAAGCAAGTTGTATGTAATACTTCATCTTCTTTTCCCAATGTACAGACTTTAAATTAAAAGCCAAGTTATGCATAGATGTATTTATTTAACTTTTATTTCATGTAGTATGATTTATGTTTTTATTTTTTTTATGAGAAATGAGTCTGCATGAAGTTTCTTTTAACGTCTATTGGATGGTAACAAGCTTAGAACTGTGGAACTGCTGTTGTATCAATAAAGCCTCATTCTCATTCTCATCGACAGATGACCTCCTGTTCCTCCTGTTGCCAAAATACTTTATTTTAAGGAGACACGTTATTTTCCAATGAGGTTTAAATGCGCCTTTACCGTTGTATTCCTACTATTTAATTTATTTTTGTAATTGTTCTCTGGCAAGAGACTCCTGCGTGTCTCCGTGTTTGGTGTTTATTCTTATTGCAATAGTAGGTATTTAGGGGACGTTTTGGGCTGGGGGTGCACAAAACGGATGCATGAGACTCATTTGAAATAAAAAGTTGGTGGGACACCCAAAGCTGTACAAATCCTAAGGAACAGAGCCGTCTTTAGGGGGGGGAAAAACTTATCACCTGTTACGTGGCAACTCCATCCAAAGCCCGGAATAGTCATAAAAATTATAATATTAAGACATGTTATTAATAAATAAAGGATGAACATGTCATTAAGAAGTCATGTTTACATGGAGACAAGTTCAGCTGCGCGATACAACGATACGGCAGCACGTGCCAAAACTGACATAAAGAACTACAATTCCCACCAGCCATCGCGTGGCGCCATTGCGTGGCGTCATCCTTGTCTACGTTTCAGGTCAAATTGCAAGCAGGAAGCGCGATGTGAGCAACGTTTTGAGCTGCAGTTTTATGTTACGTTTGTATTATACTTCAGAGAGTTATACGGGTTTTTGCAAATTGTTCTGATTTTCTCATTTGTTTACGACAGATAGTTGCTTAAAATGTCTTCCGAAAAATACAAACCAAGTGTAGCTGTCCTAAGAAATAAAATGCGCATGTAAATCGTGTCAGGGCGCCATGTATTTGTTTTTATATTTACTTTCTTCGTAGCTGGTTATAATTTTCAATTTAACTATGGTCAAACATTCGGTAAACTAGCTGACAAGCAGATATGTGGTCTCTGTAGGCATTTTTTGTACTTTTGCAACTTTGTGCATCGGATCTACACAAATATCGGTTTATGATTTGATTTTATTTATTGCCGGAAATAAAATGAAAGTGTTTTTCGCGGTGTGTAGCCTTTTGGCGGTTGGCATTCAGGAGCAAGTGGACAACGACTGGATTGACCCCACCGACATGTTTAACTACGACGCTACCAGTAAATCCATGAGGAAACCTCCAGAGGTGCGTGTCCGACTGCGTTTGGCATTTATGTGCATATATTGTAACTTAAATAAGTTGCAGGCTTTATTTTAATTTAACAGGTAATAAGTTACGATAGTGTACCTACCAAAAGGAGGGAGTTCACTGAAAAGTCAAACGATCTGACCCCATGCCCAGACATAACGGAGTGCACCAGTAAGCTCGCTATCCTGGAAAAGGAGGTTGGTGTAATCAGTTGCTCGTTTTTCCCCCCAAAATACATTTTCTTTAATTGATTACTGGCTTTTGAACATATTTTAAATGAAGTCATTACGTTGCTTTGCAATATGTATATATGTTTAGAATTCGCGTCTTACGATTTCAGGTGCAAGAACAGAAAAAGAAAATTGCATCTTCCTCCCAAAAGTCACCCTGCGGGGCGGTTTTTAAGCGATATCTCACCAAACTCCTGAAGGAAGTCCAGAAACTGGGCCTTGTAAGTAGGAGTTCTTAAACATGACTTTTTCCTGAATGAGTTTGTCACCCCCCCAGTTTTGAAAGGTGCTGTCACCTCTCGCTTTCTCCCCCAGCCCAATGAAGAAGCTGTCCACTATGACGCCGAAGTACGTCTGTCGCGGCAGGCTGTCGGTGAAATACAGCGGCTTATCGACGGGGATGAGAGCTGGAAAACTGGGGCTTTGGATGATGCCCTCAGCAAGATACTCTTCAACTTCAAGCATCATGACTATGAGGCATGGAAGTGGAGATTTGAAGACACTTTTTGTGTGGAGCTTGGTACTGTTTTGGGGGTAAGGACACGCTGTGTTATTGTTTTATTATTGTTTTTTTTGTACAAATACTTTTATACAGTAACAACCAACAACTGGTTGGTTACACTGCTATCATGTAGGCTGATTTTCTTTGACCAGTTTTCTTTGACCAAGATTTTGTAGAGATATGTGTCTATTTCATAGTCATTATATTTGACTTTGTACTTGTATGTAACATCCACATTTTATATAATTTATTTAGGGCTGTCACTGCAAAATGTTTTTTTTTTCTGGTAAGAATATGAATTCAAGATAAATACAATTCTTACTAGTTAAAATGATGATTCTTACTAGTAAGAATCGCATTGTAGAGATCTTAAATTCATATTCCTACTTGTAAAAAATGCATTTTTATTAGTAGGAATTAAGTTACGGGGAGTAAGCTTGTGCTTGCCATAGAGACCGTGCAGCACCTTCGTGAGAAATGAACAAAAATGGCCAAAGAGGAGAAACGCAAACAAGAACTGGTCACGAAAAGACATTTGTCTTCTGTATGGAACTACTTTGTATTAGAGATATTGAGCAAAAGCAAGTGATTTGTCGGCTCTGCAGCTAAGAGTTACACTACCAACTTACCGACTTACCTTAGTTTTACCAGTGATTATTTTGACAGAGGAATCGTAGAAAGTAGGGAAACAGGCTAGAGAGGCTAAAACGGGGCCTATCTATAGCTAACCTCGCATTACTGAGCGACTCCTCTAACCTGAATGTCTTCTTTTAAGATGCATTGTGGTTGTGCTGTAGTGATATTTGTTGACAGACTACATTCTCATTCTCTTTGAATGTGAAGTGCTTCCACACAAATGATGCTTTCGCTCTTTCTGGACCCTTCCGCCATATCGCCACATAATCAGGAAGGAATTTTTTAATCGGTGCTTAATAATCAAGCAATCGACTTTAATCCAGTAATCGTGACAGCTCTAAATTCATATCATGCCTAGTATCTCTTTCATTCACATTCCTTTATATACATATTTTTAAATATTTTTTTTTTTACTGAAAGTATCACTCAGGCATTTGCTTATTGTGTTTTATTGTCTGTTTTGTGCAGTGACTGCCAACTTGCTCTGTTCTATGTTCTTATAATATTTTTTAAAATATCATTAATTTTGTGAATGTAATGGCTAAAATTGTATCACTGTACTATATTCAGTTTACTTAATTGCCTTTTTTCCATTTAGGTTTGCTGCTGTTCGTTAATCATAGTAGTATTAATATGCTCCGAGATGTGGTCCAGAGTGTCCTGGTTCATCCAGTTCAAGCGGCTGTTTGCAGTTAGTTTCTTCATCAGTATTGTCTGGAACTGGTTCTACCTCTATAAGGTAAAGCATTCCCAGCATACGCAGTGAAATGCTTTTCTGAGCCCAAGAACTTAAATTCAGTCATGCAGGTTACACTGATTAAGGGAAAACATTCATGCAGTAGAACAGACCTGGGCGATTGTTTTCTGTGGAGGGCCAAATCTGAGCTGCACCATGTCAACAAGGGTAATTTTTTTGTGTTCCTTGCAAGGTACGATAGATTTTTACATTTATTTTACTAATCACATAAACCAGGCGTTTGCCCAGGTGAGCAGTACAGGGTTTGTAAAATTGTTGGCACATGTTCTGGTGTCCATCTACATGTGTGTGTATTTGTAGATTGCATTTGCCGAGCACCAGAACAACATCGCCAAGATGGAGAGTGTGAACAATAAATGCACCGGGGTAAAGATTGACTGGAAAGACAACCTGATGGGTAGGGTCATGTGACACCACTCAGACATCTGGGAGTCGCTTAGTTTGCTGCCTGTGTATCAGTGTTGCCATGCATTTTTTTTCCTCTGGCGTGTATAGAGTGGTTCAGAAGCACTTGGACGCTGCAGGATGACCCTTGTAAGAAGTACTACGAGGTGCTCATGGTGAACCCCATCTTACTTGTGCCTCCAAGCAAAGCAAGTATTGTAAATGGCAACGTCGTGACTCGGCAGTGCATGTGCTGCTCCTCTGCTCATGGCTTGCTTCTCTCTTCAGGCAATCGCCGTCACCATCACCACCTTCTTCACGGAGCCGCTGAAGCACGTGGGACAGGGCATCAGTGAGTTTCTCAGGGCCCTGCTGAAGGACCTGCCCGTCACGCTTCAGATTCCTGTTCTTATCACCATCGTGCTGTGCATCCTGGTAAGCCGCAAGCGGCCCGCAAGAGGCCCGCAAGATCCAGAAACGGACATCTCTATCTTCAGCAAGACATTTATTTAGTAATTCATTTGTCTATTTAAAGGTCTTCTTGTATGGAAGTACACAAACAGTCATCCAGCATGGCTTGATGCGGCCGCTGAGGGGCTGGAATAGGGACGCACGCCAGCCTGCTGTTGAGGAACAGGGTGTGCGCATGCTTCAGGGTGATGCCTTAGCAGGGGGTGACAGAGACCATCAGGCCCAGATACCTCAAAGGCCGATGAACCATGATAGGGACAGAATGGCGAATCATCGTAGGAGGCAGGGCAGACAGCATGAAGACCGTCAGCCTGGGGTCTCCGTGGAAAACGTGGGCGTCTCCAGCATCTCCAGTGAGGACGAAGTGGACGGCCGGGACCAGCCCGACGCGCAGGAGGTGGAGAGCCCGCTGCCGACGGGAGGCGTCGCCGGAGAAGAGGGGAGGGGTAGGCACTGCGGAAGCCATTCCAGCGAGAGCGAGTCGCCACCTGACCTGCCGGAGCAGCGGTCTCAGACGACCCAAAACACACCCGTAAGTAGGAAATCATACAAGTCAGTTCTCAGTGATTTGGAATTACACACATTAGCAAAAATGTATTCCTGTGCCTTTTTAAGGGTTTTTTTGCAACTATACCTAATTCAATTACTAGACTTTAATTAATTAACCATGTCAACAAAGGGCTTTTGTAATATGATGTGAGACATGATGATGGTAGTGTTAGTAAGCGACAATATGAGACCTGGTGATGGTATCTCTTTCCCCCTCTTAGCCTATGTTTCCGATGCCTCTCTTGGCTGTTATAGCGCAGCGTTTCACAAGCCTTGCCCGTGGCAGCGTTTTCGCCATCAGTAGCCAGAATGATCGTTGAAGTGCAGCTTCCCAGCTTGTGTGGATGGTCAGATATGACAAGCGCTTACCAATGTTTATTCCCTCTCATGGTAAGGAAATTGCCGACAGCTTTGATGGCCTAGCTACAGATTAGTTCTTTGCAGTTCCTTTAATTTACGGGAGGGGGCAGTCTTCACAGGCTATAGTCAAAATCTGAGATAAAAAAAAAAAAATCAAGAACCATTGACAATTGAATGAGAGGCTTTTATTTATTAATTAGCTCTAGAAGTTGTCTGTTGCAGCCGGTTTTTTCCACTCTGCGTCAGTGTCAGTACTGTCCTGTGTGTCACGGGATCGGCCTGTGCTGAAAAAAATAAAATGCTGTTTCCCGTATTGTGGGGGGGGGACCTTTATCGTCTGAGAACTAACATTACAGCCCATCATATTTGGGCATTGTGCTCGCATATGACATAATAATAATAATTAAGCGCCTTAACTGAGAGCTCGGATTGTGGCTCTAAAACAGCTACAGGCTGTGTGCTTGTGGTGGGGTGGCGATTTACTGTTACCGTCCCTTTTGAATGAAAAGTGAAGTGGTACTTTATTTGCAGTTTGTACAGGTACATAAGAATTCTTTGTAGTTTTCATGTCCCATCTTGTTCTCCATTGAGAGACACACACACATTATATATATACACACAGGTGAGAACAAAGCCGGGGGTCAGAGTAGGGGGGCATTTATACAGCACCCCCTGGGGCATATATTCTGAGGGACCCAGTGTAACCCATCCCGGGATGTGAGCCGGCGACCTTCCGGTCTCAGGCACAGAGCCGTTACCCAGAGGCCCACAGAGCCCCAGACTGCCAATTACCAGTTGCTATGGTGACCATGAATGTGCCTCAAACTTCAGCACGATTCCCCTTTAAATTTCCTTGTGTGCTGAGTAGAAATGACCATACAGGGATCTTGCTCTTTAACACGAAACCCTGTGAATTCCCCGCTCTGAAGCAATGCAGTTCTCCACTTGGGAGTGCTCCGTTGTATTTATTCGAGAGGCAGTACGACGTGATGTAAACACAGCTGTTGCTTTTTCTTGTGTCCAGGTGCCAGATGTTCCAGCTGATGAGAGAGACGCCACCTCTTCCGGGGAACAAGCATCGCCCATTAGCATGCCGACACAGGAGACCTCCCCTGATGTCTGAGGGACTGCCCCGCGGGAGTAAATGTGCAGTGAAATGAAGGGTTGGGGCCTAGCCAAAAAGGCAGTACACGGATGTGGCATTTAAATGTCTGCCATTGCTCATGTCACGGCAATTGCGGATACGTAAATTGATGGTCAATTTAAAATACAGCACAATATTGTATTACCCCAGAGCTATTACTTAATAAAACAAATATTAGCCATTAGAATGAGGCTTTATTCCTCTGTCTTAACCGAAGTATAAAGGAGCCCATTATCTGTACAACAGTATTTTTTTCCCCCAACAATATAATGCCCAAATTCTACAATTTCATCTACATTTAAACAATATACGGTGCAAATTCAATTAATAGAGAAATGTTGAAATTAATAATTGCGCTATTTTAAAAAAGGGATTTAAAATTCTTTACAGTAAATAGTGTTTCCCGGAGTTTGCGTTTGTGCACCTTCTTGATAATGCAGTGGATGCTGCTGTGTACCTTCTGAAGGTCTTTACATGCGCGTTCTGGTTTATTGTACGCCGAGCACCTCTTCCAAAACGCACACTGGCCTTCAGCTTGAGGGAGGCCACCTGGAGGTGGACGGCAGGGTGACGCGCTGCTCGTCCATCCGCTTGGCCTGGGAGCGCATGATGAGGCTGAAGAAGTCGTCGTCCGGGACCGTGGGGCCCGTGGCGGCCGGTGGGGGCGGGGCACACCTCTGGTCATCCAGCCTGGAGCCCTGTGGCAAGGCCATCGTGTTCAAGATGATGTCAACACTCGTCTTGTCAGAGCACTTTTCTACAGGTTTGCTATGTTAAATGCTAATGTAAGCAAACTGCAGACCTCGAGTGGAATTCTCTTAAAAACCCAGATAAGCGCCAAGCCGCACCTGACACTTCACAAGCATGTCGAAGAAGTCGTCGTCGGGCTCCGCGTTGTCCGCGTTGGCCATCAGGTGGCTGAGGACAGACTGGCCATTCTGCTGATTGATCCGCAGGCCGGGGAAGCCAGAGCCGCTGGCTTGCTGCTCGTCCACACGCCGACTCTGGGAGCTGGCCACCAGGTCCAGCAGCTGCTCGTTATGTGCTGAAATCCCTAGTGACTGGGCTGGGGCCATAGAAAGGTACCCGTCAGCTTTTGGTCTCATTTGTGTTTGTCATGATTCCTTCACTCTGCACATTTGTGTTAAAGGTAATATGGGATTATAGAGTACTAAACCTGAAAAGTTTAAAGTACAATTGTGTGATTATGTTGTAGACGGAGTACTTTAGGGAAGGTAAAAGCTAGATTTTTAGGTGTGTTTTCAGTTCTATAAGGCCGTTTCTCATTTAGGCTGATGTTCCATGGTATCCAAAAGTACAACTTGTAATTCTGTTTTACTGAAGTTTTTCATCATAGCTTCAACACATCATAGACTCTAGAACGTGCTAAAGCTATGATGAAAGCCTTCTGTAAAATAGAATCTAGAGCAGTGTTTCTCAGATGGGTTCCCAGGGACCCCCACGTTTTTGCTCCCTCCCAGCTCCTTTCTGGGGGGTTCCTACAGGCCGGGTTGAGAAACACTCCTAGAGGACTTTCATAAATCGTATTTCAGCTATTTCATAATCGTTACCATAAGAGTAAACCTGTTTTGTGTGAGAAGCACTCACATTTCCGCACTCCCCGAGGTGGGCCAGAGGGACTTGGGGGGGTTGAGCTGCGGCTCTTGCCGTCCAGTATGGAACACCTTTGGTCATCCATGCGGTTGCTCTGGAAGCGGCTGAGCAGGTCAAAGAAGCCCTCGTCGCTCAGCATGTCAGGGCTGACCCTCTGCAGGTCCGGTCAGGATGCCGTCAATAAGACACATCGTTATGTGAAAAATGGGCTTCTAAACCCATGTTTGGTGAGATCAGTCTAGTCCCTTGGTTTCATAGTCAAAACTTACAGCTTGGGATTCCAGGTGGGGGCTTAAAATCATTACCCCCCCATTTCCTCAAGTAACAGGCACCAGGTTATAAGCCTGGTTTGTCCTTCACAGAGCTACGCAGGCTCTAACAGCGGAGAGGGAAGGCCCATCTGTCCTCACCTTCTGTGGATCCTGTACGTCCGTTTCAGACTGTGGCAGGGTGTTGCTGGTGTCCTGCAGAACTTTGCTGGACGAGCTGTGGTTCTTGTGTTTCTTGCTCCGGAAGCGGTTGACAAAGAAGAGCCTGGAGGAGGCTTTTGCCAGGGTGGGCTTAGATGGTTTGGTTAGGATGTCACTGCTCCACTTTGAGTGTGCCTTTCATTGAAGGATGCATACAATGAGTAGAATCTACAAGCTGGCAACCCATAAATCAGCTTCTGCCAAACTTGTTGGGTAACTGTGTCACCAACAGAAAAAGACTAGACAAGAAATGCCCCAAGTGACTCCAATTAAAGAGCAGAAACTGAGTAAGGCTGTGAGAGGAGACGGCAGGTCCTCACCTTGTCGGGCGTTAACTTCATCAGTACCAGATTCTCCATGCTGTGACGTCTCCCCGTTCTTGGCCGCGCCCCTGAAACATCAAGCCAGACCATATGTTTCTCTTTTCAAATTCTTTATTCTTTTTAGTAAATAGTGACTGCAACTCTCTGAATAAGATTGGGCACCATAAGGGTGGTTTTCAAAATGGCAGTTTTTCATGCACTCACCATTTCATCTTGTAATGAATTGTAAGAGTTTTCCTGTCAATTTTTCATAGTTTTATGTTTAGAGGTTGCTCAACAAGATCAAAGTCTGTAACTGTACATTATCAAAATATATTAAATTATACCCAAACTTTGCTGAAATGGCAACAAAGTATTTTTGTTCTTTCTTATAACTTTTTTTGCAGGTACACAAAGTGGAATTTGTAACCACCGATCAATAAATTGACACTATGATCAAGTATTTTTGTTCTTTCTTATAACTTTTTTTGCAGGTACACAAAGTGGAATTTGTAACCACCGATCAATAAATTGAAACTATGGTCAAGTATTCAAACTGGTTAAAGCCTAGTTTAGTCATCCACTGTCTGTAATACTTGTTAATCTCAGGTTATTCACTTGATTGTTAGCAAAAGTGTGCTAAACATACTTTTTGTAGTTTAGCACTAGGGGTGTAACGATATACTCAGCCCACGAGACGAGACACGATATTAGGTTCACAAGAACAAGAGGAGACGATATTTTAAGGAAAACTTTAAGAAGGAAATATATTACTGGAAAGCAGCCTTTCATCTGATTAATTTGAAAGGCAAAAAAATGTTAATGCAGATGTGTGGTGGAATGTGTTAATCACCATGTGCAGTAAAGAACAGAACAAATATCTAGCACCATAAAATATTTGACCACAAACTCAAATGACAGGCTTCTCTCCTATTTGACTTCTCAATATAAATAAAACAATATAACAAACGTAAAACTTTTCTTGGTATTATTTAAGTAAAGAGCGATGATGGTGCTGGAAATGGCTTTGCATATTAATAGCGTTAGCCGCTGTGTACGCATTATTTTTCTACAAAGCTTACAGATGGTTCGGGTATTGTTACCCTTTATATTTTCCGCCGGTTACCCAAACTGCTGCCACGCAGAAGGTTTAAAAGTGTCTGGGGCATCTGTTATGGTAATTTCGTCAGATGCCCACATGCCTACAGCAGCTGATTTGCAGCGCCTTTGAGAGACCGCTTTTCAATCCGACGAGAGATCTCATGACACTCCTCTTTAGCATCAAAGGTGCTCTCTACAATATTAGCATTTGCTCAGTTTAACTTAAATTTTTTTTTTTTTAAATCATAAAATTTGACCAAATTAAACATTATGTTAAAAAGAAGAACTTTAAAAAGTTTTTATTATTGCATGGCTTCTGACTTTATTATTGTTTTAAAAATACCTATTTTTCATGCCTTATTTAAAAATTTAAATAACATGGTTGTTGGTGGCATGGTGGTGCAGTGGTTAACTCTACTGTCTGCCACTGCTGGGACCAGGGTTCAAGTCTCAGCCAGGGTCGTGTGTGTTTTTGTTTTTGTTTTAAAAATAGCTCTTTTTCATTACTTAGTTTAAAATTTAAATAACATAGCTGTTGGCGACATGGTGGTGCAGTGGTTAACTCTACTGCCCCCCACCGCTGGGACCAAGGTTCAAGTCTCGGCCAGGGTCGCGCGAGGAGTTTGCATGGTCTCCTGTGGCATCGTGGGGTTTCCAAAAACATGCTGAAGTTGGCAAATCGTGTGTGTGCGTGTGTGTGCCCAAGCTGGGTTACACAGAAGGGGAGAGGAAGGAAGGAGAACGGAGGAGGGTAAAGGAAGGAGGAGGAGGAGGAGGGTAAAGGAAAGAGGAGGAGGAGAGAGGAAGGAAGGAAGGAGGGAGGGGGCAAATATATTCTATCTCTTTTATTGAATATGATCAATGACCCGGCATTATTACCAACAGTGAATGACTACACTAAGCTTTAGCCATTCAAGCTGCTTGAGCAACCTCCTGCTTGAAAAATCATACTATACAAAAATCTAATTATATGTTATACATATATAATATATATATTATACAAGATAAAATTAGGTGAACTAGCACTCTCATATTTTCAAGGCCCCGTTCCTTAAATCTGTGAAAAAAGCGCCTGGTTTTTATGCACACTTCACTTGGGGCACAAAAAATATCTAATCACATATAAAGCAAAATTTCTGATGAACTCAACTGAAGATTGGAACCTTGATGGTGACAAAATCATCATCATCTGTAAGCAGGCTATGGATTTTACCATTAAGGCTGTCAATCTCCTTGCTGTCGGACAGAAGTGAGGAGTTGGAGCTGTAAGTGAGACCCAGGACCATCTGGAGGTCGGAGACATTCATTCTGGCTGTGAGCTCACCGCTTCTGTCTCCAGTCTAACACACAAATGCAACTTTCAATCAGTTATACCAAAAATTATAAACATGAAAGCCTATACTTTGTATCAAATAAAATTATTTTTAGACTTAAGTACGGCCATAACAAAAACACTCAAATGTCCGATTCTATGTCTAGTATAGAACTGTGGTTTAAACCAGTGTTTCTCAATCTGGCCCTCAGGCACTCAGATGGTCCATGTTTTTGCTCCCTCTTGGCTCCCAGTAGCAAAAACATGGACTGTCTGGGGTTCCCCAAGGACGAGGCTGAGAAACACTGGTCTCAACTTTCAGGAATCTTACAGTGCTATACTGTGTACAGTCTGTGTACAGTCTGTGTACAGACTGCTGGAAGACCAATTGCAGGAAGGAAAACTGCAGTTAGTCTATGTACCTCTTTGGAGATTTCCAGATGTTTCTCTGCAAAGTGCATGGCTTGATCATGATTCCCCAGGACAGTGTAGGCGTTTCCCAAACTCCAGCATGCCCGACCCTCTCCAATCCTGAGTTTACAGGAACACATGCTAGGCTTCAACAAGCAGGCGAAAACGTCAAGGAAACCATACGAGACAAACCATTTGCAGAGTTAGATGTTAGTGACGCAAAACACAACGTGATCCAAACGTTTGGGCCACAGATGGGAAATTACAGGGCAGAGAGAAGCGTAACCTGTCATTGAGGTCCTGTGCAATGATGAGGTGCTTGAGGTGGTAGTCGATGGCCCTCTCGTAGTCCTGCAGCAGCGTGTACGTGTTTCCCAGGCTGTAACAGGCCTGCGCCTCCACTGCCCTGTCTTTGAGCTGCCTGGCGAGCTGCAGGGTCTTCCTGCCAGGCAGGGTTTGGGGGGTGGGAGAGGTGGTGAGGCCAGCTCAGAATCGAGAAGCATCATGAAAGCGACAGACCAATTTTTGTTTGCAAACACTGTGCACTTCCGATGTTCCTCGGCCACTTTCCCAAATTTTTATCTGAAAAACTGTAAATCGGCAGTGGGCAACTTTCATGATCGTCCAGATCCGAATGAGTTGCCCTTTGTCTCACCTGGTTGGCAGTTGCCTGGCAACAATGCTCATAAAGTTGCCCTGTGTATCATCACCATTACATTACCCGAAACAAATTTAGCGGGGCAGGCCAGCCAGAAATCCCCACTGAGCCGCATGGTACTGACAAGGGGAGGTGACTTACTTGTAATGATCAGCAGCAACTTCAAATTCCCCCAGGAAAATAAACGCATTTCCGAGGTTGCAATACGCCCGCCTCTCCGCCGCCTTGTCGCCGAACTCCTTGGCGATTAGAAGACGCTAAAATGAGTCAGAGAGAAGCCTTTCAACACAAACCTCTCGTTTTGGAAGAAGGATCCCTTCACTGCGGTACTTTAATAACTGATACTTCGTAAACTTGAATAGACAGAATGTCTCATGCGATGTGCAGTTTGCTCACATACCTGCTCATGAGATACAACTGCATCCCGGAAGTTTCCGAGGAGATAGTGCGTGTTACCCAGGTTCCCATACGTCCGTCCCTGTGCGGCCCGGTCTTCAATTTCCTTCACTATAAGCAAGTTTGCCCTTGAAACACAAACATTAGAAATCGATATTGAGACTCAGGATTGAAGGTAATATTTAGATCCCACAATGCCCACGAGAATAAGCAGTTGGAAGATGGATGGATATATTTAGGACAAAATAATTGTTTCCTTTATAATCTGGCGGGGACACGCAATCATCTTTTACTATACCAGCAGGGTGAAATTGGTCGAAGGTGAAAGCATCATTGCTGACTGATAATTAATGATTTAAGCAGGTTCTCCTGATACTTGGAGTGCTTCCTAAGTTGATAGGGCAGTCAGAGTGCTGAGAGCCCTTGACCGTGTCCGGCCTTCACTGGGTCCGGAGGTGTCAGGACTTACTCATAGTAGTCGGCTGCTTTGCGGAGAGCCACCACGGCCTCGTCGGGGAAGTCCCCTGGGTCGGCCCCGTTCCAGCAGATGCTCTTGCCTTTGGCGTGGTAAACGTTCCCAAAATTATAGAGTGCCCTGGCCTCCCCGACCTATCAGGAGACAAACAGCCCTCACAGCACATCACACGATATGCCACAATGAATGAATAGAACTACCGAAATAAGGAGCCTTCAAAACAACACTTCAGCTACCCGCCTTGTCGTGAAGATCCTGGGCAATATCCAAGTGCCGCTGGCAGCAAACCACCGCTTCGTCAAACCGCCCCAGGACCTTCAGCGTGTTTCCCAAGTTGCCACTGGCTTTTGCTTCTCCGAGCCGATCTCTGATTGTTCTGAAACAGCATAATAAATCTTTCTGAAACCCATTTGAAACTGTAGAGGGGGACAAAAAACAGCATAAATCCACTAAAGGCTTGTTTTCATTCCTGATCCGGGGGAAATTCAGCACCTACAGGTTATTATACTATCTAAGCATGTTACAGAAATATTTCAGCAGATTTTAAAACAGAATCTTGCACACATATTACCTCACCCAGGACCAGCAGTGCCCTACATTTAAAAGATTACTAAATGAGTACCTAGTTAGGGTTAAATCGTGGTGGTGGTACTCCAGCGCCTTAGTGTAGTCGTGCAGATGGAAGTAAGCATTTCCCAGCTGGCTGTAGATGGCACTGAGGACCTGGAGGTCCTCGGTGCCGACCTCGATGGCCGCCTGGAAAAAGGAGACCCCAGCATTGTAGTCCCCCACCTTGCAGAGCCGCTCCCCCTCCAGGGCGAGCTCCAGACAAGACGCCTCCATCCTGCCAGGCAAGTCAGGCCAAATTAAAGTCACACTTCTAGGTATTATCACTGTTCATCCTGCTCTCACCTGCCTGCCCCCCACTTTGAGACTCCAAATGTTAAAACTGGGGGAGTGTGAACTGGGAAGTTCTTGCTCATTTGACTTCCTCTGGGATATCAAAGGACCGGCTCCCCCTTTGAGTCTGGTTCCTCCCAAGGTTTCTTTATTCTAGGGGGGTTTTCCTTGCCACTGTCGCCTCTGGCTTGCTCACTGGGGGCTTTGGGCGGGGTTCATTTAAAGCACTCAGACAATGTAATGCTGTGAAAATGCGCTGTACAAATAAAACTGAATTGAAACTGAACCGAATATTATCAACCAAGAAACTTAAGTTTAAAAGTCGATTAGCCCATTTTGTTCTACGTGCTGCAGTGATTACCAGACATTCGCTTTTTGCTGCTTCTTATTCTGCTGCCGATTCAAGATTTTTATTTGTCACATGCAGAGTTGTACAGTACAATGGCAGCGAAATGTTATCGTGACAAAACAGCTCTGTTACTGCACACAAACATATATAAACTGTAAGGGGAAAAAGTGAAATAAAATAGAGAATTAAAAAAAATGAACCTGCTGATTGAAAACAAAGGAGTCTCTTCACTGTGAAATTCATTTTGCCTATGAAGTCACTTCTTAAAATGCTAGCAGAACATAAGCTTGGGAAAACAACACGACCCATTGTGTTGAGGCTGAATTAATCTGAGCAAGTGAGACAGTTCCTGTTATACAGCCTGCAGTAACCGATTATTAGCCTGGATGTGTCCATAGAGGAAGAAGAACCACTCAGTTTCAATTGCTATTTGACCTTTACATCAACAAAACTTATTTACAAGTTCAAGGTAATTGATGATTTTGAAGAATGCTTGCCCTAACCCTAACCCAGTTTGGGTATCCACTATCTGGAACTTATGCCTGCAATTTCAATGTGTGAAGAAGGAAGATCAAACATGATGACAGACCAACACAAACTCAGAGAATCCCACCGAATAAGACCTCATGATAATCCACAAATGTCATGTTTCTACTGAAACAAAAAACGAACACTGAGGGTCCACCCGTTGGCTTTCGGCCTGAACCAATCAAAACACACGAGTTGGAGTCACATGGCTATGGAACAGTTGTCAGGGGGAAGCCATCGCCGTGGCAAGCGGCCTCATAGGTGATCGTGCAAGATGCCCAGTGGAATGCCTAAACGGCTCATTTAAGTCCTGCTAACCCGATTACACACTCATCTCCAGGACATGTAATGGCCTCTGTCGGCTGCAATCACCCAGGGAAAACCCCACCAGTTATTTGATGCAACAGAAAAAGGCTTTTTTTAATAATAATAATTTTAAAAAAAACAGGTGGAAATTTTTCTCCATTAACCTGTAATAAACGGAATGCCACTAATGAGCATAAACTTACATTAACCCTTTTTATGAGATTGGAAAAATATTCCCCTAGCAGAAAATAAACACATTTAGACAGAAACACTTCCAGATATTTTGCATAAACCCTTAATCCAAATAAGTGATTTATTTATCCAAATGTGTTTGTTTAATGAATAAAAACTACTATAATTCAAGGGTATTAGCTAAAGGATTTAAAACAATTAAGGAGTTAGTATCAGTGATAAGAATCCCTGCAAAACAAAGTATCGTATGTAGTTTTATAAGCACTGATGCCTGCCTTGATCACTGTATGAAATATTAACTACCACCGCAGAAGAATAAAAGTATTCACAAGGATTACATTTAGGGACCAAAATGAGTGCTTGTCTCCTGGGGTGAAAAGTCAGATGGACCTCACAACAACCAAAAGAAAAATGAAGAAATTAAAATTAAATAGAATGATAAAATCCCCAGCAGATTCTACACTCCATGCAGACACACTTACAGGTAAACACCTCTTCACACTATCGTCGTTCTGAGATGTAATTATCCTGGCTGAGGGAAAACCCAAGAGATGGGATATGGCAAATATTTGAATTTAATGATTCAACGCTCTTATTAATAAATGAGGACGCCATTAAAGTTTGAACGACCCGAGTGTCATCAGGCCCCATGGCCGGCTGCACAGCAAGGCTTTCATTGCCTCATTAAGTTTCAGGACAAGCAGGTGCATGGTGTCAGTTTTATGCTCTAGCCTGAGCAAATACCCAGTCAAACAATAAATAAGCAAGACTGGTGTATCCGCGGTTATTTTGCATTATGCTTAAGGATTCCTAATATTTTTGTTGTTATATCCCCAATGCAATCTGTCAACACGACAAACATCAACATTCCGTAAATGGATCTCACTCTACCGCCAAATGCCAAGCAGCAACTGGCAATTAAAATATCTATGGACCAAATTCAATGGCTTCCTTATAGAAACAGCAAAACACAGTGAAAACATGCAAACCACTCCCACCACAAGCGTACTGTAGCTACTCTAAACAAACTTGTACATGGAATCGGACCAAGAGAACGTGCCCTAATGAAACTGCGAAGCTACACAGTGCCTTTATGGTGCAAAACGTTAACTTCTGAATGCAGGCTACACGGAAGATGCCAGAGTTGAAAACCAGAGAGGAAAGACACGGGTGTGTTTGTTCGCCTACCTGTAGCGGACATGAAAGGACTGGTCCTCATCCCGCATGCTAATCAGAACACCACTTTCATCCATTCAGGTGCATAATACGTTGGAAAATCCTAGTGAAATTCCTAAGAATCAAAAATGGAAAAGGGGAGGAAAAAAAAGAGGGAGGAAAAAAAAAACACAACCCAGAGAACTCCAGCTGATGATCTTGTTTGGCTGTCGGATAAAGTTCAAGAAGAGCTTCAGTAGGTGGAGCCTAAAGACCTCAGGTCACCATGAAGTCTTCCCAAAAGCTGTACTGTTGAAGGAGAGGAGCATGGCTCCCAGAACAAAGAGCCAAAGTCTTCCCCTAAAACAGCTTTATTTTGTTTGTTTGTTTTTGTCCAGCTCGTCAGCAGCACTCTGCAAAGGGAACAGAAGATGCTGTATGTGAAGCCTCGCTCTCAAACGGCATCGCCATAGCAACACCCTCCCATGTACACAAGCACGGCAGCAGCTGACAGGTCTGTCAATCACAGGGAGGCTGCACAAGCCACAAAAGGTTCTACCGTAATGTAACCATGGGGATTTCAGCAAAGGCCCTATGAGAATGGGACAGACATTTCTGTTGTATTGGGAATCAAAGGTTTTTTGCAGCTAAGATGAGGAGGTGGAGATTTTGAAAAGCTGAAGCTGTGGGCCTTTTCTGCAGCTCTATTAATTATCAGCGACTGGTTGCCACAACCCACACTGGTTACGTAACGGCAGATGAGTAGCCTCTAAATAAAACAAGCAATGGAATGAATCAGCCAAAGAGGCAAAAAAAAGGAATCATTCAATGCATTTCCTTTATTTAGGATTCTATATGACAGACAAGTCAGAGTGACCCAGAGTGTGGATTCGGAAATGGAAGCAGAAAAGCGTGTCTGGAAGTTGTGCATGGCAGGATTTTCCATTCGTTCAGGGACACAAGTGTGTAGCAAAAGGTGTCGGACACCAGGCACTCATTTGGAACTCTCAGCGCCAGCAGGAACAGCAACAGCATGCCCACAATCAATAACAAAAGCCTCAATCAACTTTCTGCCTTTTGCCCATGCACTGGGATGCTTCCCAAACCTCCATAAACATGCCAAATGATGCAACATTCATATCAAAATTACCTGAATATATGAAATTTAAAAGCTAGTTTTAGCTCAGTTAACTATCGATCTTTTGCATGCATCCCAAAATGTGACTGAAAACACCAGAGAAGAAAATCAGATCTGTGCAAAGCAGAATTTGACAATTTCAAATGACATTGAAAAAGATTATTCGAGATTTTTGAGTCATCACTTTTCTAAATCAGCACTAATCGGTTTTAACCTGATCAAGGCACTCAGAGCTTATCCTCCATGAAATAGGTTACACCGTACAAATGAAAACATTAGTTTAGGCATGCAAATAGGCATACATTCTCCATGTGCTTTTAACTGAATTACCACATTGCAAACAAATACCTGAAACATATCTAAATATGATTTCGCGGACAATGACATTCTGCTCAGCACAGAACCGCAATGCTTCTTTTCAAAATTAAAAATTCTAAAATTAAATTCATTTACAGTTAAGATACCATAAACAATATACCGGATGAAATAAATGTAATGAGTTTAGTAAATGTATCGTGAAAAGATGACCTTCAGAGCTGCAGTACTTAAACCCAGGACGGGGTGCCAACCCATTGCAGGGCGCACGAACAAAAACAACTTTTCACAAAATCAAAGGACCAGAATTAAATACATTTTTCAGATCTAGAGAGTGCCACGAAAAACAAAACGGAGCTCTGCACGAAGAGTCACGATAACTTAGGACACTGGACAAAGAACGTCTTCTGAGGCTTGGTCTAGATCTATACTTTCTGGACCTGAACTTTCCACCTCTGATAGGAGTGTACAATTATTAAACATATTTGTATACAAAAAATAGCTCATTCCCTCCCACACACTGCTATAACGTTGGAAAATACATTATTACCCAGCGAACATATCTGAAAATGGTTGTTCCAAGTCATTATTCCCACGTAAAGTTTATACCCTATAATGCGGACCATGTGTGACTTTCCATAACTCCGTGCCAGTAGGGCGTGTGCTCGACGCAAAGCAACACTATGTAATTGGCCAAATATGACCGTTTAAACAGGCTAAACCATTCCCGCACAAAAGATCCCTTTCATAAGCGGCTTTCTTGGAATATACCCCTAAAGTCAATCATAAATGGCACTGCTGCAGCTAGTGGCTTTCGGGGCTCTACTTCAGGCGTATGACATGGTTTCTAAGCACGTTTTACAAGCAGACCGATGACGTCAGTGACTTTAAAGGACGGGAAAGTGGCTCATTTCGGTCACCGAATTACCTCTGCAATAACGTACGCGTTTTTAATTAGAATCACCACTTAGAAATTCGCTATGTTTAAGTCTGAGATGGCACGAAACAAGCTAAATTCAAAATTTTAATGGTCCAAAACGGTAAAAGGACAAAGTTATACACATTGTCTTGGTAAATCATATATAATAAGATCAGCAATATCATCCTCAAGACTGCAGCATTACAAATCGGACAATTAAGATACTTGACAGTTCAGGTGGTCAGGGTACCTCAGCACTGCAAAATCAAATGTGATCTAGGCAACCCGTCCAGAAATATACTATTACAATTTTGGATTTCGTTACTTAACTTGCTGTCTGGAGAAAAGGGTAGAAGAGACATTTTTAAATTTTTTATTATTACATTATATTTTGAAAATACTCGTTGTACATAAACATGTACTCGATAATTAGCCTTTTTAAAGTCAAGTGTACTTATCCAGCCGACTAATTTTTAATTCATAAGGCATCATCAAAGCAACAGAATGCAAACCAAAAACTAGTCAACTAATTAACCGCACTTTGCAATCAGTATTGTTGCACTAGTTAACAAACCAAACAAGCTGATTAGTATGCTTTTAAATCTGATTTTGTTCTGCATTTCAAAAACTTACTTTAAGCTTCGGGTATCCGCTTGCCGTTTTAGCTTCAGTATTATGTTTCCCTTCATACAAATAAAAGTAAAAAATACAAAGTAACTACAGCCGTTACACTACGGATTCCGCCATTAATTTACACAACTTTTTAGATTCGACCCACCAAACAATGGCAGCGCCTGCTGGCCAATCAGACGGCCTCGTTCAAAGGAAGCCCGCCTCAATGGTAGCGTCTGCTCTTCTCTGGCCAATCAGACGGTGATATTCAAAGGGCGCCCCGCCTCACAATAACAAGCCAATAGCCAATCCCATTTGAAGGCTTCGAGTTGAGTTTGTCCGGAGAGCTAAGGCGGATTTGTGCCACGCTGGTTGCTACTAGTTGCTCGCTACCGACTTTCGCCAATATGTTTTGTTAAAGGTGGCAATATGAAACGGGTTGTTTGAGATTGCACTACACACTGGAGGTGACGCGCATAATGAGCACCCTTCAAAATCTCAATCAGCCTGTTGAATCCACCCAACCGGTACAGCCGAGTAAGAGTGACACCAAGCTTTTACAACTTCAGAGGTGATTTGTCAATGTAATTTCTTAAATCCATCAGATCGTACCATAGGCTACATATAATGATTAGCCTTAAATGGAAAATAAAGACATTGATCTTTCGAGTCCTTCAGAATACAGGGTTGGCAACTTTGGAGTGAGACTTTCAATTCGAGACAAGTCTGCACACGCATTTACATGTATGTGCCAGTTACATTACCTTGTAAATAGTCTGTACGGTTTGCAATCTACCCCAACGCATTTGTTGTAGCTAATTTTAGGTTTGTAATGGAATTATAACAATTTCTTGCTTGAGCGTGAGAATGTGAAAGCGTGAGTGTCACGCCACATGCGCGAGAGTTGGCAAGCCTAAGAATAAATTAAATAAAATACAGTGATCCCTCCTGACACTGAAAGCTTCACGTTACCTTAGCAACAAAGCTCTTACTTGGTTTCATTGCTTCAGCCAGCTATCTTCAATCAGGCCAGACGTGCAGCGATAGCATTTGCATTATTAATGAAAGTTTAGTTATGTGATCCTGGCTTGATTCTGGTGTTGGGATCGAATTTTAACATTGCAGAACTTTGTATTATTTGTAGGATGTTCTGAAAAGCATGCGGACTGAGGTCTCCAGTCGATGTATGAAATACAAGTTGACTTGCATGAAGGATAATTTCACTAGTAAGTAAGTGAACCACATCCTTTGGGCTGACGGCTGTATGGGTTTTTAATTGCAGGCTATGTTTATTATGATGCTACACAGTCTAGTTGTTCACAAGCAACTATACAGGCCATTCATAATATAATGTACGTTTTTTTGAGAATAAGTATAAAGAGAGCAGTGTAATGGCTTTAAGACTTTCTGCATTATTTACAGGTTTAATTTCTTGCACAGAGTGAAGAACTTCTTAGCGTCCGCTATTTGGAAGACCCCGCATCCCCCCCTCCCACATCTCCAGAAGCATCGTGCATAGACGGCTGAATAATTAACTATGTTTTACATGTAAGCTTTGTTCCCACTTGTTGGCAACATACAAATTAGCCAGTTGAAAAAAAGGTGAGGAAAGAGCAGGAAGTGGCCGTAGGAGGTCCAGGTAGGAGATGTTAGAGGGGGCTGTGGCGAACGATAAGGCAAAGAGTAATGTGAAGGACAGGTCAGCTCCTGTATTCTGGGAGACGATCGTTCAGCAGAGCATATGATGATAGTATCCACTTCAATGATATAAAGGACAAAATTACGTTATGCCTTTTGCAGGATTTAACCTCGGAGCCAACCAGCCATTTCAAAGGTGAGATAGCACGTAACACTTTGTTCCGTTTCAGTGTTTATTTGTGTTCTGTATACATATTTTATATGTATATGTTATAGTCTATGCAAATATACATAGACTGCAAGTTTTAACTTTAAGAAATTAGTCTTTAGCTATTTATAAAATATATTACTCATAGTAGACAAATCTTGAATACAAAGATATTTTCTTTCACAAATAATATGTAAAAGGTTTCACTTCAATACTACTTTTTGTCCAATTCATTGTTTTTATTTAAGTATTTATAAAATGGGTGGAATTTCCAGTAAGTTTATGTTTTTTATTTTTGTTGATTTTTTATATTGGTAGGAAACCAAAATCCATCTCATGTTAATGACGATACTCAAGATGTCAGTTTCTTGGGCAATAAGAAACCTTACCCCAAAGGTGGGTCTGATACTGGTGTAACAAGCGGGTCACTGCACTGACTATGATGGACGGATTTCCGGTGCAGACATGCAATGAACCTGAAGATACTAGTGATGAAGACCAGGAAGACCTTCCGTATGATGGAGACCTTGGCATGTTGGACACCAGCCTTGTTGCCAACAATGAGAACTGTGCCCTTTCTGACAAGTCCCCAAGAGTGACCCATTTTGAATTCATTGCTCAAGCTTGCCACACAAATTCTGTATTAAAAGACCAGTACACTGTTGATGGCTTTGCTTCGAGGATGGTAAGTGGTAAGATTAATGAGATACGAAGCAGTTACACTAGAGAGGCCCACGTCACTGGCCACACCACCATGGATCTACAAATAAACAAAAGTTGCATTGAGACATTGGAGTACAAATCTCAAGATACAGGTACTGTAGCCAGGACTCACAACAGAGAACCTCCTTCATATGTCACGGACCTGCTGCTGAGACATCTTACTCAGGAGGAGCTGTTTAACTCCAGTAAGTACATCGAAGCAGAGACCATGCCTGAGGTCTCCTTCATTGACAGTGTTGAGGAGACAGTATTAACCAAGGTCCCCTGTTCCCCAAGACACAGTGAAGATCACAGTAGTGCTATGGAGAATAGTCTATGGATACACCGAGATGGTCAGCTGAATCGAGGATGTAAGCATCCAGTGCTAGAGAGTGTGGAGCTGGAGGAACTAGTGGATTCCCAGACAAGTAAGCATGTCTCAGGGAGTGATGAATCAGTAGCCCTGGAAGAGCAATCAGAAATTTGCTACAGATCCAGTAATTCAGAGCTAACAGATGATCATGAAGAAATCCCAAGGTTAAGTGGCTTCAGATCATGCAGCGAATTCAAATACGGACAAGGCCAAGTCCACTACCCCCTTCCCGACTTCTCCAAGGTGCCACCCAAAGTGAAAATCCCGAAGAGCATCAATCCTGCGAAGTCCGACAGTAAGTTTCCCAGTGACCCCAGATTCCAGGCCTCCCCAAGCATGCTCAGGAAATCCAGCAAAACGACCACAGTGGTCATCGGCAAGGTTCTTGAGGATTCTGTTCAGCCATCTGTTGAACTACCACACGAGTTTGATAACCAACTGAAAGATGGAAGCCAGCCTAAGACATCAGAGCTTGTGCAGCATTTACAGGTGAACTGATGTGATACATCTATCATGCAAATTGAATGTGATAAATAACTATACAGCAAATTTGTCAAATTTTTTATTTGCATAAAACTTCCAATATATAAAATATGAATTTATACTTAAGTGTCAGTGTCTAAACTATGTTATGGCTCTGTTTCAGGCTGAATATGATAAATTATTAACCAGATATGCAGAAGCAGAAAATCTCATTGATCAGTTGAGACTTGGTACTACAGTAAGTTTGAGTGTTTTTTCCATGAGATACACAGATATTTGCAGGATGAAGTACTGGTGTGAACTGCAGTGACTATGGGACGGCATGTCATGCAATGGAAGCTCACATTACTCTTGTGTCCCTCAACATGGCCAGGGACCAGCATTGTTAGACTCTACATTCCCACCGGAATACATGGGTTTGCCTGAGATGGAGACTGCTGGAAAGACCACCAACCACACAGACTCAAAACAAATCCAGCCTCTCCCTACAGGCAAGAATTAGAGTATTGCATTCAACAGCTTCTAGTGCAAAAAGAAACCTTGCATTCATCATCCAACTCCTCACCCTGGTCATGGGGCCGGGGGGGTGGAACCTCTCAGCATAGGGAACAAGGAGGGGACACACACATGGATGGGGCACCAGTCAGACACAAATATATGTGCAAATTACATACTGTGTGCAAATTAGAGACTACAGTCAGTCTAAATGCATATCTTTGGACGGTGGGAGAAAACAGTGAGAGAATATACAACACCCACACAGATTGTGGGACTCAAACCCTAAACCAGGGGTGGCCAATCTTATCCGCAAAGGGCCGGTGTGTATACGGGTTTTCATTGCAACTCCCTAATTAGATTACTAATTAGAGGACTGATTGGCTGAAGAGACCTACAGGTTATCCCAAAAACCTGCATACACACCGGCCCTTTGCAGATAAGATTGCCCACCCCTGCCCTAAACCTTGGGGTGTTAGGTATTAATACTACTCACCAGGTACGTATACAGAGGTGGGCCCAAGCTGGCACTAGCTTAAATCTGATTGGCCCATGGAATGCCCCCTTTCTATCAGTCACCAATTAAAAACATATCATTGGCTAATGATGAGGTTGCCCCCTCTGAAAGAATCATGGCCCCTCTTATATCCCCCACCTTAAAAAATACTAGAGTTGCCCCTGCTATCCACTGAGCCACAATGCCACCCCACCTTCTGGCACTTGGAGTACACTATTCATTTACTTATTGTATTAATACTCTGTAGGGCATCCTCAGCACTTGGATGACCTTCAAGAATTGGACAGCCGTGTGACGGCAACAGATAAACAACCCAGTGAAGGAGAAAGAATGACTAATGAACTAAAAGAAATAATTAGCCAATTCATGAAAAAGGTAACAACCAACCCCACGTTGACAATTTCAGAGTAAATATTCCTTATTTGCTCTGAAGTTAAATAACATTCTCCCATTTTGCCTGTTCTTTAAAGGTAGAAGAATTTAAAATTTGTCTCACCAGTTTGCCCACAGGCATTTCAGAACAGCAGATGGTAACTATTTCCGTAACTGAGATATTTCACATTCTAGAAATTGAATTACAGTATTGTAAAAAACATTCAGGTTAATAAGTGCACAGTAATTTTTATGATAAATTCATTTTCTTAAAAGCTCTGTATAATAGTTTAATTGGACTGTTCCCTTTGTTCAGATCTTTAAGAGTCTGATGGACGCCCAGGATCAGTTAGAGAGACATTATATTGGCAAGAAAGAAGAACATAGAGCACTGCAGATGCAAAATTACATGGGCGTGGCGATAAATGCTGGGGAATTCGATCCTGAGAGGTATCAGCTGTCGTTTCATGACGGTTCTGCTTGTTTGACATTGCTTTTTTTTAGGCAAAAATCTGCCTTGTTTTGTTGGGGACATAAAGAAATAACACAAAAAACCAAGCTGTATACCATGGCGTCCTGTATTCCTTTGTAAAGAAGGAAGAGTCAAAGATGAACTGTTTCCTCTTCTCTCAAAAAGGCAGGTGGAAGGAGAGATGTTCAGGACAGGCATGTTCCTGGAGGACATAAAAGAGCTTATAGACAATAACATCTGCAGTCAATTCTCCCCGCCTACGTCATCTTCAAGCCCCGCACAGTTGCTGCATGACAGCACCGTCCCCTTATTCCCAGCAGTACTACAAGAGGTACAGTAACTATAGGGGTGCGGTTTGCTTCGATATATTTACGAGCTGAGCATGCCTGTAATCGGAGACATGGGACGTTCCATCAGGTCGTAGCAGTCTGGCAGACATGTGGCTCTTGAAGACACTAGGCAGGGCCAAATACAAACATCGTCCCAATAAGAAAGTCTTGATGTGACAGCAATTTCTACGCAATGTCACTTTTCAGGGCCAAAATCCCAGACTCTCCATCAACAGTGCAGTTGTCATGGACAAGGTGGGTGAGGCAGGTGTTGAGACCTGCAGCAGTCCTACTCTACCAGCATCTGGTTCTGTGCTACAGAGCCTTCAGTACTCGGGGTACGTCCATAAAACAGTACACAAGTGGATAAGTGCTTTTCTAAAGGCTCTCTAATTGTTTTATAAGTACACTTAGTCTTTTACTGGCTTATCTGATTGCATATCTGCCATCTGATATAAATAAGGCCATGAAAGAACAGTCGCTGCCATTCTGGACGACACTGCTATGAAGCCTTTGATCATCATAAAGAAAAATGATTAGTGACTGGAGAAGGTTAGCGTGCAGGGGTATCGTGTTCTCCGACTAGGCTCTGTTTACAGAGGAGGGAGGCTGCTAGTGAATGGTGAAAGTGGAGAGCATGACAGAACTCAGTCTACAAGGGAGTGATTGAGTTTCAAGGTCACCAACCTTCCATCTAGTGGGAACTGTGCAGCAAACTCTGCTCGTGTCCCCTAAGGAATTCAGACGCATCTCCAGAGAAGCACGAGTCTCCTACCTGTAAGGTGGAAGAGAGACTTTCTAAAGGCCTTTTCCAGTCTGGGAGCTTGCATCTGTCGCCAACTACTGTACCACAGGGGAAGCGGAGGAAACCGGAGAGGTTAGCAAAGTGTTTGCCATTAACCTGAGAGCCACTTTTCTGTGTATATCATATACTTAGCCAGTGGTTAATTAAAGATACTGAGCGGAGTTTGCATAATCAGTATCAAGAGGGAATCAAGTGGATGCATTTTTTTCTGCTGTGCTTTAAGAATTTTAATAGGGGCATTAAAGTCACGCATAGAAATATATGATTCGGTTTGCATGATGTGTGTTTCTGCAAATTTTAGTCAGCAGAGTTCCCTGAAGACTAGGGATCCATTGTCTTTGGATTGTCTGGAGAATGCACCCAGGTTTTTCCACTTAAAGGCTGGGGGATTCTCACACAAACCTCGGTCTTCCTTGCAGGTACAAAGAAACACTAAAAATGCAACAATCAGAACAATATCACGCTCATAACAGGGTTTAGTTTCAAGGAAGAATCACCTTCTTGTAGCTTTCCTATCAGCCTGACAGACATGCAATTGTCTTTTTTGCCAAAACAGAGCACAGCGACTCCTGAGACAGATAGTGGAATCGGAGGATTGGGCACAAGTTGTCCAGCTGTGGAGCTTTTCCACTCATCTCCGTGGACGGAGAAGTAGGTTAGCAGGAAAATACCTGCCAGAACACGCAGAGCCACCATCCATCATCACTCTTATCCACTGGTATCTGTGTTGCCTTTTTGCGGCACGGGGACTCGCGGTTTGCACGAGCATTCATTTCTGGACACGTGCCTATTCAAAAAAATGTTTCCCTCTTCGATGAGCAAAATTAAAAACCCATGCAATTTGTGTTATGTCAACTCACACCACATAATTTAAATGAAATAAAGTACCAGTCAAAAATCTGGACACCCCTGCTTTTAATGTATTTCTCTCTATTTTAGCTATGCTATTCACCTTATAGTAAAATGCCTCGAGATTATAAAGTAATATGTATCAAATACTGCAATGACAATTGTTCAACATCCTAACATTTTTGCAATATTCCTCAAAATACACATTAGGTGATTTTTCTTTCGCTTCAGTGACAGGATTGCAGATTCTTGCCGTTCTTTCAACCGGCTTCCAGATGTAGCCGCCTGGAATGTACTTCTGGCCATGTAGTTCTGGCCACGAGTTGGCTACCTTGCTCTTACTCTTCAGTCTAACTCATCGCAAAGCAGCTCCATACAGTTCAGGTCAGGGGGGGGGGGGGGGGGTGCAGGTCATCTGTCTCAGCCCTCCATCTCTTTCCTTGTTCACAAGATAGTACATAGTACTGCATAACCTGGCATTGTGTTTAAGGTCGTTATCTTGTTGAAAAATACATTATTTTCAGCAAGTGTGTCCAGACGTTTGACTGGTACTATATACTTCAGTATATATAATGCTTTTTTAAAATTGCATATTTTAAACTTGCAATCCACTGAACTTACCTGATATCTGCAGATCGCTTATCCACCATGTATATACCTGTTAATGCCTAGATCTGAAGGGCACCCAGCTCCCTGTGCCATGACTGATTCAGACAGCAAGGGCTCCTGGTCCAATGTACAGAGATCCAGGGACCGAACTGCGCAGCCCAAACAGCCAGGGCAGGCGCAGCCCAAACAGCCAGGGCAGGCGCAGCCCAAACAGCCAGGGCAGGCTTCTGACAGCACTGCCAGGGAGAACTGCGCATTGCTGACCGGTGAGAGCAACACATGTAGCTGCAAAAACACTTTAATGGGCCTGTTTACTCCCAACAGGTAGCAGTAATTGATTAAAAAATTGATTGATGAAATTTCATCTATTAGCTAGATACAGAGCTCCCAGAAAGTCTCGGGACATTTGCTTAATTCAGTAAAAATATTGCAAATTTATTGGTTTTATAACAAAAATTACTTCATGACTTCATTCATTTACAAAAATATATATCAAATTACAAACAACCAACGGTTTTAAGTAAAACAATCATTTCAAATAATAAATAATTAACTGAAACCCAACTTATAAAAGAGCTATTCTGAGTTAAAAAGTCCATTGACAAGCTGTCATAGGGGGCCAGTAAGGAAGTCCATGAGAGACTACCCTTATAATTTAGGAGAGAGACTTAGGGGTCCATAGGGGGGCAGTAAGGGGGTCCATGAGAGACTACCCTTATAATTTAGGAAAGTCATGTTGGAAGACTGCATTCATGATGAAATAATTGGTGTTTTTTGTGTGAATTCGGCAGCAGAGTGGACAGCTGAGGACTCTCACGCTCATGCCCAGGAGGCCCATGTGGGGAATGTGGCCAAGGTCCGCACACGGTCCAGGGATAGGACGACAGCTGAGACTCTCTCCCACACCTGCTCCTGTCACAGGTGGGGCTTCCGCTCACAGGACACCTAACGAACCCACATCTTACACTCCTGTTCCTCACCACACCAGGCGGCCTCGCTAACCTTGAAATCCGGTCTCTGGTTTAACTTCATTCTCATAATGTCACTTTTGGATTCAACCCATGATTTTTTATCAGCACCAGTACCAGCCGAGAAAACGCTGACGTTAGTGTCTACGCTGCGGCCGACAGCGATTTGATCCTAGCTCTGCAGTGCGAGGTGGGCAGTCTGAAGCGGGACTTGGAGCAGAGCCTGTTGTGTCTGCCTTACATTGCTAAAAGGATGGACTACCTGGCCATGAGGTTCACGCAGGATGCAGGGCGGAAGAGGAAACCTACAGCTCACCACAAAACCAGCCCCACCGGGTAACAAGCTCTGCAGCTACCAACAAACACTATCCAACCGTAGCATTGAGAGTAAATCTCATTTAAAATGTTACGCTTGTGTTTCTACTCACTGTTTCCTTGTTTGCTTTTACCCCCCCTTTAATCGCTTCCTACCTGCACGACACAGACATGAAGCTCTGATGAAGACCAGCACAAACCCACTCCTGGAGGAGAATGGAAGCTCCTCAGATATGGATCCAAGAAGTAAGTGGCTACATTTGGATACAGAAATGAGGGAATTCCTTGATCAGGCTAAGTGTTACATAGATCAAATTATTGCAGATCCTATTTTGAAAAATTACATTCTGGATTCTAAAGTTTGTGCAGGCCTACTATTAAAAAGTAAAAAATATATATTTTTTAAAGTATTGATATAAATATATTAATATAAAAATTTTAAATGCTATGTTGGATTTAGAGTTTGTAAAGATGAAGATGACTATTCCATTCAGGTGCTAACCTATATTAACCTGGTAAATAATGGATTCATAATCAGTGTAATGTAGATCTTTTCACGGCCTACTATGGGGTTAAAGCAGTGCTCTCAATCCAGTCCTCTGGGACCCACAGCGGTCCATGTTTTGCTGCCTCCCAGCCCCCACCACACAGTCCACATTTTTGCTCCCTCCACATGAACTGTCCTGGTGGTCTGCGAGGACCCGTTGGAGAAACACTGGGTTTAGCAAACCGTCGGAATGTCAACATTTTCCTGTTTTTCTGTAGCGAGATGGAGCTCCACCCTCTCCAAAGAGAGGCATTATTATATAAGCCCCCATCCTGCAACACAACCTATCAGTCCAGCATCTGACAAAAACTGGCGAGCATCCTGTAGTTTACCTGCTAGGTAAGTAGTTATATTCAAGATTCAAGATTCAAAGAACTTTTTTAATCCCAGAGGGAAATTGCTTTGTCCTGGTTATACAGTTGCTCTAATTAACTAATTAATAATAAATTAATTTAAAAATTAAATTATAAGTACGTTCTATTATATATATATATATATATATATAAAATAAACATTTAAAAAGAATATAACAATAAGTAAAAGTAAAATATAATAAAATTAGATATAACACACAATTAAGTTACATAATAATGCACAAGACAAAATGGCTTATGCCTTAATGTTATATGCCTATGTAATGAAAAATGTCTCTAGCTTTGCAGACATGGGGCAGATGCCTATGACTGGATGGAGACTCCCTGGTAGCCAATCAGATTCCGCCCTTCTGCCTCACCATCCAACCTTTCTGAGGTCAGGACGTTCCCCTCACTCCACCCGCAGGGTCAGGAGTCACCACAAGTACAAAAGGGAGGTGAGGACAGTTAATTCCTCAGGGCTTGTGGCAAACCCAACCCTCAGGGGCTGACGGGCGTGTTGGTTTCTGTATCCAGACATTACGGTTATAGTCTGAACAGCAAGTCAGGTCACGTTTTAGGAAAATGCTCATTGACAGACACACTTTCAGCATGGCGAGAGCAGGAATAAGATACCAGATCACTGGGTTAAAAAGGGGTGGAAGTTTCTGGAAACTTTCCATTCCATGGGAAGTTAAGCTAGGGAATTTTGGAAACACATGGGAATTAACAGGAAAATTCTCACAATTTTGCAATGCTATCACTGATACGAGTTTTATCACATAAAGAAGAGCTTCATGCATAGAATTATACAATCATACTCATTCCCCACCCACCAGGAGGAAAACATCAGCCGAACGTTGGATCGGGCTATTGAGGCGGCGTGGACCATGAAGCTGACGACAGACCAGATGGCCCTGAGACTGTCAGCTGACCTGGCAAAAGCAGAGCTGTACAGGAAGCTGCATGCTGTCAGCCCACAAGCTGGAAGATTCAACTCCAAAGGCCAGACGGCACCTTGACACTGCAAATGCTCCACAAATGCTTAATATTTAATCTTTCAAAAGGCATTGTTCAATACTCAGGGAAAATAAACTTCTCTTTAACAGAATGTTATTCCTGTTTACAGCCAACGGTTATTTTTCGTAATACACCCACATTTATCTGTTAGCATTCCATCCTAGCCATTATGGCCACTTCTGGTAACAAACACAAGATGGCACACTAGCACTACTCACTAACCTGACTCCACAATCTCACTTGCAAACCCAGCTGCTCGCTCTATTATATCCATTGTGAAAGTAGGCCAGCCTTCCCCAACATTACACCAGTTCCTCTGAGAACGGGTCGCCCCCAGTGTTCATCCGACACCAATGGCCATCCATCACGGCCCATCACAGACAATCGGTTGCAAACAAGTGATGCTTACTGGGTTTCTGCCGAACACCCCGGCTTTCTTTTCGTGAGCCCCCCCTACGGTGCCCGCTTCATGACTCGTTCTGTTGTGGCATATTGTGTTTCTTTGTTGTACTGCGCCGGCAGAGAAGACAGAAGTTCCCAGTGCAATTTCAGACACTCAATTGTTATGGAGCGAGAGCCACACCTCCACCAACCCACTCTTCCGGACATGCAAAGAAAAAAAATAAAGATGCGGGTCCCTTTCCTCTAAGGCCTTCTTACTTTTCCATCCACATCACTGCATGTTGTCTGTTTTTGGGAAGATAATAGCTCCACATCGCTGGAAAGATGATAAGTCAGCTTTCCAAAATGGCTTATTCAGTATAATTCCCACCTTTGCTCATATGCCATAACATCAGCTGATCTGTCAAACTGGCTGTAGCAATTTTGGCAAAACCCACCACACACGCAAGCCCCAGCTCATATTTCTCTAACACTTACCTTTTGCTCATTAGCTCAAACGAAACAAGAGGGACGACGACAGCCCAAAACACAAGATCAGGGTAAGACTGCACTCAATGCTTAATTGTGCAAAACTGAGTTTATTAATTAATTAAGGCTTTTTTTTTTTTTGGAGACTTAACGATAAAAAGCTTCACGACTCCAGGAACAAGACTTTAATTAAATTGCAAGCATGAAGAAAATGAACTTCTACAGTGTGTTTAAGTAGTAAATATGTAAATGTCAGCATTTAACTATGTTTCTTCACCACTTTCCAACATGGAACATTATGAGTGGTTAAAAATACTAAAGTGAACAAGATAAAAACTAAATTAAGTTATTTGTAAAGTAAATGTATATATATATAAAAAAAGATGTTAGGTTTTAAAATTAAAGTTTATAATGTAACCCACAAAAACTTATTTAGCCACAGACTTTTCATCCATTATTTCAAAGGTTTCCATTGGGGGTTTGCTGAGGGTCTTGATGTCGTCTAACAGACTGGTTGGTGTGACGATATGAGAGGATCCTTTCAGGGGGAAAAAACATGAAAAAACATATAAAAACCATATTGAAACAATACACAGAAGAAAAGCCAAGCATGAGCACTGACACTCACCGATGATGACCTCGCAGGACTTGACCGCTTGCATCACCTCGTAGGCACAGCGCATCTCGGAATAGCCGATTCCCCCAATGATGAAGATGATGAGTCGGGAGCCGCTCCTTCGTTCGTCTTGGGCGTTGGGCTTATGCTTCTGACGGGCACTGTGAGTATGACCACCACCCTGAGAATCTTTCTCATGACCTCAAAGAACATGCAGTCTGGGGCTATCGACTTCTATCCAAAGCCACAAACGTGACCAACTCTTGCCATGAAGATGTCACATGACCGGTGGTGGTTTAATGGACTCGGCCCGTACCTCACGGCTCCGGATCCGTTCCAGGCTGCTGGACCCGTGCTCTGGTGGGGCCACTCTCTGGTATCCAGTTTTCTTTCTAAAACATCCTGCAGATCACAGTTCCAGTCAGTACACTCAAGACGTGAAAACCCCAGGTCAGCACTATAACTAGCCAGCAATAACCACAGACATTATTTAAGCTGAGGATGATAAATTAAATTTGTAAATGCTAAACCCAATCCCCGAGTTTCTCTGACTTACTTAGGAGTTCATGTAAATAAACTACACGGACCAGCACTGCTGTAATTTTACAAATTAGTGGAAAACACATTGTAGGAGTTTGAAGAAATAACTGAGTATAGTAACTGAGTGAAAGTGCTTAAAAGGCTGGAATTAGAACCTGTGGGGCTATCCTACTGGTGACTAACTGGGAGCATCGCAGTACACTGTATCCCGTCCTACTGGTGACTAACTGGGAGCATCGCAGTACACTGTATCCCGTC